GCGGTTCAAGTTTAACTGGCGGTTCCAGCAAGAGGACGAACCTGTGGCAGCTTTTGCACTAGAGCGGAAGCGATTGGCTGCGTTGTGCGACTTTGGGGCATTTCTGGACGACGTTCTTCGGGATTGTTTTGTTGCCGGGCTTAGTGACAGAGAAACCCAAGCGCAGTTGCCAAAGAAGAGCACGTTGACGTTCGCAAATGCCTGTAATATTGCAAAGAGTATCAAGCTGGCCCACAAAGACAGGAATTTCAGCCCAGTCATGCCCAAGGCACAGTCAGCACCCTCTGCCATAAGCCAGACAGCGGGAGGTGCCCACAGCGATGGGAAAGATCTTGTGCTACGGCTGAACCATCCAGAGCAAGAGCGTCAGAGTCATCCGGCTGTTTTCGGTGCGGCTCAGCACACAATGCGTCCACTTGCAAATTTCGCAAATATTGCTGCCGTTCTTGTAAGGGCTACAGACATTTAGCGAAAATGTGCAGGGGCAAGGTCAGAGACCCTGCGAACATGGTAGCGGAGAACAGTGAACGGAACGCAGTTGTGCTGTACAATGTCTATTCTTGTGAAGGGCGTTCAGGACGTTACGAGAGTTCCTTGGAAGTAGCCCAGAAGAAAGTGCGCACGCAGACAGACACAGGCGCGTCTGTCTCGATTGTAACAAAAGCATTGTACAAGAAGTACTGGCCCACTCTACCTTTAGAACCATGCCGTCTAAAGCTAACCTATGGCGAAATGCCACAGGCAGTGGCCGGGAAGCTGTGTGTTCCCGTCGAACATAACGGTCAACACAAGCAGCTTCTGCTGATTGTCCTGAAGACATGCAACAATGGCAGCACTACGTTGCTAGGATGTGACTGGCTGGCGGCTCTGAAGTTGGACTGGTTTCGTGTGCATGGGGTGTGCCTAGACAAAGTGTCGGCGCTGCTTGAAAAGTATGCTAAGGTTTTGGAGCCTATACTAGGCCAAATCAAGAACAGCCCCGTCAAACTGGTTCTGAAAGGAGGCAGTACACCAGTATTTTGCAAAGCACAAAGAGTGCCGTTCACATTAAGGAAAGCCGTGTCACTACAGCTGCAGTCTCTCGTGAAAACAGGAGTTCTTGTACCTCTATAGAAAGTGACTGGGCTACATCCCTTGTAATTGTGCCAAAACAGAACAACCAAGTCCAGGTTTGTGGTAATTTGAAAGTGACGCTGCATCCGTGCCTACCAAATGGATCATTACCCTCTTCCTCTTATGAAAAATTTGTTTGTAAGGATGTGGATGTCCCGATGCAAATATTAAGGTATTTAGCGCACAAAGTAGAAAGAAGAAGGACAGGACAGAAAAGAGCGCTACTCACAACTACGTTTATGATAAAAAGGGAAGAGAAAGAAAACACCTAAATAATCCGCCGCGGACTCGTGCACCTACCACAGCCCCGTGAATGATAGCGGCTAGTTCATCCAGGCTCGTGCGGGCCCTTCATTGTTTGTTCAAGGAATTTCCTTTCCTTGTTTGTTAGCGTAACGGATTCAACGCTAATACAGTTCCTGTCCTCACGAAGGATGTAGAAGGCCTCCAATACCTCGCGGGTCAATTTGTCTTTGTTCTTCCTCAAGATGTTGGTCTCACGGAATAATGGTCTGCATGTGCAATCCCTGCAATGGAGAGGAAGATTTCCAAGGTATTGGAGGCCTTCTACATCCTTCGTGAGGACAGGAACTGTATTAGCGTTGAATCCGTTACGCTAACAAACAAGGAAAGGAAATTCCTTGAACAAACAATGAAGGGCCCGCACGAGCCTGGATGAACTAGCCGCTATCATTCACGGGGCTGTGGCAGGTGCACGAGTCCGCGGCGGATTATTTAGGTGTTTTCTTTCTCTTCCCTTTTTATCATAAACGTAGTTGTGAGTAGCGCTCTTTTCTGTCCTGTCCTTCTTCTTTCTACTTTGTGCGCTAAATACCTTAATATGTTAGACTACCAACTAGCCCAAATGTCAACTTTACTGCCGATGCAAATATTTCATGGTTCTTGACCTCTCCATTGCCTATCAGCAGCTTGCACTGCATCCAGAAGCATAGTCACTTGTCGCTGTCAAAACGTGCCTCGGACTGTTCAAGTGCACGCGCTTCAATCTTTCAGGCAGTGATGGATGATGAAAGGGCCGCATCGCGTATCATGCTATTTATATGACGTTCTGATAGCAGGGTCCACTTTTGACGAGTGTTTACATAAAGTGGAAACTGTCCTGTCACAGTTCCAGGAGCAAGGCATACGACTAAAGAAAGAAAAATGCAATTTTTCAAACGTCTGTCTCCTAGCTTGAGAACATTCTTGATGAGAAGGGCATAAGACCGTCAGATGGAAAGGTGAAAGTGGTAAAAGAGGTACCTACTCTAAAGAATGAAGCACAGCTGCGAGCCTACCTTGGCTTGATTATAACTTTTATGGAAAGTTTGTTCCTAACATGGCTGCCATGTTTTAAGCCTCTGTACAATGTGCTGAACCATGAAAAAGGGTTTCAATGGTCTCGTGCGGCAGAGCAAGCTTTCCAGCAGAAAGAAACGTGGCTCACGCAAGAGAATGTTTTGACTTATTGCGACCCAACGAAAGAGATTGGACTTGCGTGTGACGCATCGGCTTAAGGTGTGGGCGCCATTCTGTTTGATAAGGTCAGAAGAGATGAAAAGCCAATTGCTTGCTTATCCAGGGCATTGAGCAATACTGAGCAAGGTTATGCTCACATCGAAAAAGAGGCACTTGCCGTGAAGTTTGGCTTGAAAAAGTTCCACAAGTACCTGTTTGGGCACAGCTTCGTCGTTTATTGCGATCGCCAACCACTAGCTGGTCTTTTGGGTAACGGCAAGCTTGTTTCAGTGATGTCAGCCACCTACATGCAATGCTGGGCTTTACTGCTCCCTGCATACGGTAATCATTGGGTGTATCGCAAAGGCAGCAAAGTTGGAAACGCTGACGCACTTTCATGGTTGCCGCTAGCCAAAGCAAAAGATGTCTCGAATTCCATACATGTCTTTTCAGTTGTTGATGAAGTACCGTTATCTGCTGTCGAGATCCAGAAATGCACACGCACTGACAGGGTGCTGTCAAAAGTGCTTATGTATATGATGCACGGTTGGCCCATGCATGCAACAGACGTTGACAGCACACTTTGTTAGGTGACATGAACTGTTGGTAGACCAGCAGTGTGTCACATGGGGGAATTGGGCTATAATTTTTGATAGCTTGCATAAACAAGTGTTGCATCTGTTGCATGAAGGGCACCCGGGCATGACGCGCATGAAAATGCTAGCCCATAGCTATGTCTGGTGGCCTCAGCTAACACAAGACATTGAACATATTGTCAGAAGTTGCAGCACCTGCCAGTTGACGCAAAATGCTTTACGCAGAGTACCACTACAGACGTCGGGTTGGCCGACTCGCAGATGACAGCGAATCCACCTGGATTTTGCCTTCACAGACAACCACTGGTTGTTGGTGCTCACTGACGCACGCTCAAAGTGGGTGGAGATGTTTGTGACGACATCAACAACAGCAGAAAATACCATAAAAAAGCTGCAGTGTCTTTGCGCCGTATGGGCTTCCGGAAGAAGTGGTTACAGACAACGGGCCCCAATTTACAGCAGACTTTCTTGGAGTTTTTGCAGAAGAACGGAGTGCATCATACCAGGACGCTACCACCTTCGAATGGGAGCGCCGAGCGATGCGTGCAGACAGTGAAACGAGACCTGCTGCACCAGCTTCTCGACAAGAGAACAACGCGTATCAAGAAGACCTTACAGCACCGGGTCGACCTATTCCTCTTCAGGTATCGGAACATGCTACCATGGGGCAGACACGTGTAGAACTGTTCCTCGCGTAAAAGCCTCATACACGTACAAGCCTTCTGCAACCGAGCCTGGAGAGTCGCATGCACGAGCAGTTCTCCAAGGCGAAGAGGAAAGCAAACGAACGAAAAGGGCTGTGGAGCTTGTTCCAAGTGCAAGACCACATACTGGTATAAGGACTTCGTCCTGGCGACGCCAAGTGGTTGTCTGGCATTATCAAAGAGCAGTGCAGTGTATCAATCTACATTGTTTGTGTGGGATAGGAGTACAGGTTTGTGCACGCAGACAAGTTATGTCCGTGCTCTTTCAAAGGTGTCAAAACTGTGCCTAGTGCGTTTCCTTGTTTGGTGCTAAGTTCAATTGCGGACTCCATGACGGAGGCATGTACCACGAGGTCTCCCCTGCCAATGGCGGTGCCCCCAAACCCCGCAGCACCACAGCCTGCGCCACCTGAAAAGACCCCTTCGGATGAGTGGGATGCCAGCCCGCAGCCAAGCTTCGCTTCGCAGTCGCTGCATCAAGCTTCGGCGTCACCTCAACAGTAAGAAGTGCTGCGGTGCAGTACTCTTACAAAGAAGCCCCCTGATTGGTACAAACTGTAAATATTCTGTAACATAATTAAGGGGGAAGGAATGGGGTGTCATGCCTACACGCATGTGACATCACTAGAGTGACAAGCTCTTATCTGTATAAGAGCGCTGGGAGAGCTTGGCTAATTGTTCTTGATACGGTTACGCTTGCTGAATAAACATGTTGCATTAGTCACTCTGCCTCTTGCCTCGTCCACCGCAGCTACAACGGAAAGTGTCTGCTGTCATTAATGTGCAAGGTTAGAAAATGATGAAGTATTAACAGGCTCCCTGAGAATTTTTTCAGGGAGGAGGTACTCCCCCTCCTTCGTGAAACATGCCACACATAGAGTGTTGACACTCCATAGCCCGTCTTGTGGCTGCCACTATTCTGGCGGGGTCACAATCGGCCATACCTACCATTGGAAAATGCCACTTGCCAAGCTTTAATACGCTTTCAGGAAGCTCGGGCAATGTCGTTTTACCCGTCGCTCACTCTCTCGACATTTCTGGAGGGCGTAAAAGCGTTTCCTGGGATCTCGGATTCGATATGACTGGCAACAATGATATGGACGAAGACGGTCCAAGCGAGGGTCCTCACCCAGGTCGATGGCGTGGTCCTCGAGCACCGGGGCATAGCTGCCCTCGAAGGTGGCGTAGTCCCTCCGGATCTGGTCGGCGTAGTCGCTGGCGTGCATGGGCAGCTGCAGGGAGTCCAGCAGCTTGAGGAGCACCATGCCCACCACCTTCACCACGGTGGCCAGGCTGTGCAGGCCCGGGTCTGTGCGGTTGGCCACCGCCTCGTACGTGTCGTACGCCGTGTGGTACGCGGGGTAATCCGATATCTTTAGGGGGGGTGGGGGGGGAAGAAGAGGCACGTCCATTTTGAGACATCTAGCGGCACATTCAAATACTATTTTATGGCCATAGCTGTCATAGAAACGGCTGCACTCGTGGCATCGGCGTTGCACCGGAACTCCGTTTTGCGTGTGCCCATGACGCCAGGCAAAGCACGCGCACTTGGCCAGGCAACGGTATCTTCTACGGCAGGCTGGAAACACATTCCTCACCGTCGGATTTTGTGTACTGTCAGATGCTTGGCATCTGTCTCGATTTTAGCGTTAGGCTGGGACCTCATGTGTGCAGTGAATTCCCTTTCCTACATACCTGAGTGACTATGAGGCTGTGTGTTTTCCATCCTTTTCATCTCTAGGAATCCTTTTCACTGACGAGCGAGCAATCCTTTCCGATCTCGCCATTGATGCAAAAAAGTCAAACGGTGCACATAGTAAGGAGAGTTTGGCACACAGTCACGCATCGAAGTCAGCTAAAAAGAAGTGCTCCGATTGGAAAAGCACTTTATTTAGGGGATGGTCGAGGGAATTTAGGAGGGAATCCACCCTGGGGAAACCTTGGGGTCCTTGGAGCCCCGTTTAAGAACCCCGATTGGAAAAGCACTTTATTTAGGGGATGGTCGAGGGAATTTAGGAGGGAATCCACCCTGGGGAAACCTTGGGGTCCTTGGAGTCCCGTTTAAGAACCCGTAGAGTAAGTTTTTGTTACCCTTGTAAAAATCCGTAACTGTTTACACATAGAGTTATTTTGTTTTACTCAATCTAGTTTTTTTTTACAACTTTATACCAGGAATGTCTAAGATCTGCAATTTTTATGTATATGCAACTTTTTACCCCCATATGGGTACCATAATATTCCGAGTCGTTGCCCATCCCTGAGTCATCACCCACCCCAAATTTTGGGCCAATATCGATTTCCAAAAAAAACACAGTCATCGCCCACCCCTCCGAATATCCCAACGCTGACTCCGCGATCCGCAAACATTCATCCTACCCAAATGACGCGGCCGCGAACCTTACAGTTGGAGGACGTCCGTGACAAAGTAAAACGAAGAAGAGAAAGACACTTCTCTCCTTCGGCATACACTGCCTTGATTGTGGATGCAAGGTTAACCTGCCATCTTGTACAATTTTAGGTAGACACAGTGACCAATTAACGAGAGAAATTATTGAAGCCGAACACATCGTCAGGAATTGTGAAAACTCTATCAGTACACCATCTTTGAACCTGACAGAAAAAAAACAGAAAAAAACAAGCTATCTAGGCGTCTAGGAGGTTGGTGCGCGTGATTCGGGAAATTCGGCAGTTCCAGACGTAGAAGACAAAGTATGTAAAAACGAGTTGTCAGTCAGCGCGGTTCATTTGAATTTTTCCTTTCCTTTTAGTGTGTAAGGAGTGCGTGTACGGTGTGAGTATACGTTTGTAGTGTGCACTGTAGTGTGTGTTAACACTTCTCTTTGTTTAGGCATTTCCTCCGCGAGCGACCTCGAAGTCATAGTGTATCCGTGGGAAAGGAAAACAATGGAGATAACAAAACAAAAGTTTGTTCTGCTCCAAAAAAATTGTCCCGACAAAAAAAAAAAAAAAAAAAAAGTTGGAAAGACCAGTAACCTATTCAGGGATTGCGAGGTAAGCGAACGCCCCATATGCTGGAATGTAACCACAGAGTGTAAGGTCAAAGTCTGTCTCCGCCGAACTAAGGTCGTTGCAAACCCACTTCTCCTCCGGGCATGTCGCGACGGCGATTTTGCAATGTTTAAGACAAAGCCCACGGGTAAATAAAGCTTTGCTGGAACGTTGCACGCAGACGTTTGTAGAGTGTCCCAATTCGAGCCCCATGTTCGTGGTGTCGTCCACGCCATGCAGCAATGTCGCCTTAACCCGCGTTGAGAGCACGCCGTGCACAGACGCACGCATGTATGCACCAAACAAGAAAGTTGTGCAAGAGCTTGCGATTCACAAGGCGCCCGACTTGACCCGACATAGAAAGCATTTGCCAACGCGATCGCCGACTTTCTCGCATTCCCAGCACCGCTTTTTGTCGCTTTTTTGGTCCGCTCGTTCCCTCGCTCGTTGCGCCTGGTTGGTTTTTCTATTTTCTTGTAAACTTTTCTTTCTTTTTTTTTTTGAACTAACGAGGAGAACATAGCAGTATAACGTGCTTTCACGAAACAAATGTTCGCGCTGAAAGAAATCCATTGGGGTCTCCCCGCACAGGTTCGAATCCTGTCGACTGCGCAAACATTTTTTTAAATTTTTTTAAGAAGACAGATGGGATCGCAATCGATGTGAGAACGGACGCCGGGCGGGTAGACAAGGCTAGACCCTAAGGAGCTTCGCCCCTAAAAAAAAGGAAAAGAGAACTTGCACTTTCCAGCGCGCAAGATGGACCGCACACGATGCTACAGAAAAGCGCTTTGAGAGCGCGCGCCACTGATCTCTACAATAGAGATCAGTGGCGCGCGCTGTCTCTGTGCCCGAGCATGTGCTATGTTCTTCGTGCTACTCCACGCCAAATTGGTTGTGCTGGCTCGTGTCATTCGCTACAGTCCATCTCAATGGTGTAGAGGAGCAGGCGCATATTTGCGCACGTTCGGCTTTACAGCAAAGAGCCCGTGTTTCGCCGTACGTTGGTGGTTTTTCTGCCGTGGGGCCTTGCAACGTGAGCTTGCGCGCATTCGCTCGGGACGAATTATCCGACGCGGAGTCGTCCCAAGTTCGAACTATCGAACTTTTCCTCCCATAGAAATGCATGGGCGCTCGCGGGGACTTTTGAACAGGATCGAATTAAATGAAAAGTCGAATTAACCGAGGTCGAACTAACAAAAGTTTACAGTACTTCGCTCGTGTCAGCCTCCTGTTTAGGGTGTTTTGATAGCAGTCGAATATATTGTCTTGCGTACATTTGGTCTTTTTATGTAGAGAAAGTAAAGAGAAAGTAAATACCATACCATGATTAAGATGGAAGCTTAACAATATGCCAATATTAATGAAAACACAGGGAAGGTGCAGGCGAGCTGTTGTATGTATACAATTTTGTTAAAACACCCGAGACTGGGTGTGAAAAAACTTGAAACAACCAAAAGTGGAAGAGACAGGGAAACAGGTCAGTCAGACGACGTCTCAAACTGGTTGTTTAAAGTTTTTCCACACATAGTCTCGGGTGTTTTAACAAAATGGTACGCTAATATTGTATTATTAATGCCATATAATATAAATACCTATGGTTCATGTAAAAAAAAAAGCAAGAACAAAAACATCTAAGATTTTATGCACTCTTTGCTTGTGTTTCTCCTCCTCTTTCCCTCTATCCCCAGCAGCAAAGTCCAGAAGTTTCTGGCTCTGCCACCACCCCAGAGACAATCCTGATTTTGCTCGGGTCGTTGCCACATAGCCCAGCTCCAATGGCAGTGCATAAAAACCAAAATTCCTGCTTCCAACATAGCAGTGTTGGTAGTTCTTTGAACAGGTGGAGGTCCTACTTTGTTTTCCGATTGCTCGGTTAGTGCAGATGCCGGCACAATTCATTGCAACGGTGGCTCGACCACTAATGCTGCCGCGAGAGTTGGCCCAAGTTCGTCGGTGCTACCGCGAAGAATGAAAAAAAAAACAACCTCAGAATGACCCCAGACAACATTCACCCGAGGGTAAGCCTCATATCCCCGAGCGTCTGAAGCTAGCAGCTCTGTTTCACGTGCAGACTGCTCTTGTCCAACCTTTTCCTTCCTTTTGTTTCACTATTTACTTAGAGTACAATGCCGTCAAAGCTTCTAGCGTGAGCACGTGGCTTCGCCTACCATCTCCTTTGTGCAAGATCAGATGCAAATGAACCGCAAGGTCAAGTCACCCAATCGCACCAGCTGCTTTGGCAGCACTGTACACTAAGCATGCAGTGAAGTAGGTATAGGTTCTCGGGCGTCTGGCCCCTTGGGTCAAGGTGAGCTGAAGCAGGCACCAAATTTGAATCTATTTTACAATGAGCAGCAACTTGCACTCAGATGCATGCACTTGTTCGAAATAACAAAAGAAAGGAAATACTCACCGGATCCTTGTTAACAAATTGGAGATGAGCGGATGCAATGCCGAGGCCCGACAGGAACGACACAAAGTCCGAGCCCGACGCCAGAGGGGCAATCCTACGGAATGATTCAACAACTGTTACGAGGAACGCCACATTTTTCCTAGCGATGTTAAGCTACGAGAGGCAAAGTCTCTTGCATGGGTGGCGAGTGGGTGTGGTTGGGGTCCTGTGGCCTGCGCATCTTCCACACGTCGTACACGCTCATGTCCCTGCGTGAGCCCTCTTGGCACGGCACCAGCTGGCTGGCCTCCTTCAGGGCCTGGCGCAGCAGCGGGCTCGCCATCACGTACAGCGAGTTGTTGCCTGCACGGATGCCACCTGCCTTCAGTTCCCGAGGGCAATGCAGGGGGTGCGGATGAGCAAGCTCCCAAATACACTAATCCAGGTCGAAGGACTCGGGATTCTTACCTAAACAATGCAAAGCTACTGTTCCAGCGGGGATAGAATGCCAAGTTAGTGTTTCACACAGTTGCACATTCCGGGTGTGACCCTGCTGTTTTGCATCGCAGCGTCTCCTCCAAAGCTCTTCCCCCTCGCCTCCTGCATACTCTCCCATGTGCAAGTGTGTTCGATGTCGCTAAATAATGAAGCCATAGTGCTGCCTTTTCTACCTAGCCTGTCGATCGCTGGGCACGGACACAAATGCTGGACTCGCCTTTCATCAGTGGGGATCCAGCCGATCGCTGACGTTTCGGTTAGCCAGTCATGCAACACATTCCATGCTCCCATTGCTGTCATGCAATCAGCTTTGGTGGAAAAGTGCTACCCTTTCAACCAGTTGGTCACATTTCTCTGGTTCGGAGATATTTCGTCAGGGTCCAGGTAGCTGGACCAGTACCCAATGACATACTGTTTCTTCAACCAAGCTGATTGGTTCAATTCCCCTTTCTTTAAATGTCTTTTCTCTTCCTTTCTGCAGTGGCTAGAACATTTTACTGGTCTGGCAATGCTGGGTACCGAAATGGCCACTGCCATTCATCACGTTAGGAGGATCCTTTTAAATAATGAAACTTAATTGAATACCGCGCTGTGCGTGTTTGCATAAGTAAAGCACTTGTCGTCGAAAGTTATTATCTGTTTAGGACACAGTAATGCCATCAAACCTACGAGGCCTCGTAAAAGGCAGGAACTTTTGTACACTGCATGACACAGTACAAACACAACATAGACATTCTTGTATTTTGCTCGGATAGGATGTCGAGAAACATGAAGTTTCACAGTTTAGATTTGTGCCTAGGATAAGCCTATTCCACCACACTACTGGGTGTCCCAAGGAGCGGCCAGGCTTTTTAAATCGAACGCAAAATTCGGTTTCTTAACCTATCGCGCTACGACTTTCTGCAGCATTGCCCACAGATAGTGCATTTTTTTGGTAAAATTTGCAAAGAGCGAACTTACCTGAGGAAAAAGTAAAGAAAGAAAAAGGCTTAGCTCCTATGGAGACGCAGCGAAGCCACCAGCCTTCAAACAATACGGTGCCGTTTCGCACGGAAGACAAGAGATGGCGCAAGAGGTCGCGACGCCAACTATCGCCAACGAACGAGCGCACGACGCCAAGAGCCGACGTCATTAGCAGACAATCTTTTCGACTCAAAAGCAGCGCGAGCTTTTCTGATATTAGTTGCCAATAAATGCATTATTTTATCACCATTACTAATAAAACATATTGAATCGACACATAATCTATTAAAAAAATGGTTTGTCGGGATATTTTGACTGTTTTTTTGGGGTGGTGATGTCATCTGCTTTGCAGTTCCTTGTTGTTACTGCACCCGTTTTTGTTTCTGCGACTGTCGCCGCCTGCGGAACGCACGCCGCTTTTGTGTCGAAACGATTGTCTGCTAAAGACGTCGGCTCTCGGCGCCGTATGCGTTGGCGGCAGTTGGCATCACGACCGCTTGCGCCATCTCTTGTCTCCCGTGCGAAATGGTGCCGTATTGTTTGAAGACCGGTTGCTTCGCTGCGTTTCCATAGGAGTTAAGCCTTTTCCTTCTTTAATTTTTCCTCATGTAAATTTGCTCTTTGCAAATTGTGCAACGCTGCACAAAATCATAGCGTGAAAGGTTAAGAAACTGAATTTCGCTGTCGACTTAAACAGCCTGGCTGCTCCTTGGAACACCCAGTATAGTGGTTCCGATGAAAGAACTTGAGTTGTGACCAAAAAAAAAAATCAGCGCAGGCTCGTTTAGGCTAACACTGTCACGCTCAGTAGTACTTCATCAACTATTTTTGTCCAATGTGCGAATGCATTCGTACAAAAAATAATTATATAGATGCAACGACACACCAAACAGCAGTGACTAGCTCAGCTGGGGCATCTGTAAACGGAGCTTTTGCTTCCATTCTACGTGTTGAAATACTTTGTTAGCTCTTGGTTGCACCAACGTAGAGGTGCGACATTGAAAAACGAATATTCGAGTAAAGAAAGACTGAAGATCTGGTTCAGGGACTAACTATTCAAGAGTGTACTTGATCACCCCTAATCTCCGGGTTATGGTGGCAATAGGGGTGGGTGTACCGAGCGCCCTTGGGTAGTTGAACGTGCTTCATGACAACAAAAGTGGTGCGGTGGTCAGGATTTCATTTCTGCTCGGAGGGGCGTGACGTCAAGTACATATCTCCCCGGCATTTGTTGTGAACTCAAGTGTCGTCACGGGAACGTCTCGTACACCATGTGCTCATGCAGGATGCGCTTCTACGCCGAGCCTCCTCGAGTGGAACCCCGTTATCATGCCTCGTTTTTTCTAAAGCTAATGTTGCGTCGCATTAAGTTCTCTCTCGCTCAGTATTTAAAGTCCCGTGCCGGCTACCACTGGTGGGGCCCTCTCATTTATAAATGAAGATCAAGAAGGACACCAGCTGCTCCGTGTCTCGGTGCAAAGAATCTGAGAGTATTTAAAGTGTTACTATTTTCTGTTTTGAAAGATCTTTTTCGGAAATAATTGCGCTTTGACGGCGGGACAAAAATCTTCAGCCTCAATTGGTAGTTTGTGAACTCCATATAAGAAAAGAGGCATCTGACCCGTTTGAGTAACGGACTAGAGGTTATTGAAATCGAGAAGGTCACCCGTGCCTCACCAAGGATGCTGTCCCCTTCACGCTGCTAAATGGCCCTGCATGCCTCTGAATGAGGCTCCCCACGAAAAGAAAGAGTTGAAATCCTACGGGCCGTCGCCTGCCTAAACGGGACAGGGCTGTCCCACATCGCAACGTGCGGGTTGGTCGTCGCCATACTCTCCGTTTAAAAGCGGCTCTACTTTGGAAGAAACTGCGACGTCTTCTAGCAGAGGTATTGGTTGGGTGCACCTGTTTAAACAGGTTGAGGGCACTCTGCCACAAGAGAGTGTTGCTTTTTAGGGGCGAAGCTCCTTAGGGTCTAGCCTTGTCCGTCCGGCGTCCATGCTCACGTCGATCTTGCTGGTGCTCCTGCTCGTGATCGTGCTCGTGAGCTCACGTGCTCGTGTAGGGAAAAAAAAAAAAATTATACAAAAAAAAAAAAGAAAAAGAAAAAAATGTTTGCGCAGTCGACAGGATTCGAACCTGTGCGGGGAGACCCCAATGGGATTCTAGTCCATCGCCTTAACCACTCGGCCACGACTGCGGGATGAATAAGGGGCTCTGAGATGTGGTAGTAACCCAAGAGCTGGGGTTTCTGTCATGGATGAAACGTTGCATGTAGCCACTCAACGTCTATACAGGAGAGGGCGCTGCGGTCAAATGCGTATATAATCGCGTTAAACTTTGCATGTATTGGCTCAACGTCTATAGACGAGAGGGCGCTGCGGTCAAATGCTCAAATGCGTATACTATAACCAAGTTCCATACCACACATTCTCTTTCTGACATGGATGAAAACGAACGAAAGGTTCGGGATGCTGTGGCTCAGCGTCTACGCAGACAAGCACCACCAGAGCTTCGCCCCAATCAGCATCAGTCACCACGTGGAGATGTGGCCATTTTTTTTTTCTTTGTTCAAAAGATGATAGAGCATTACAGTCAACAAAGTCCTTGTCTTCCCAGTGTACCTCTTTACTAATCATGCCACTATTTTTTTGTCCAGGAAACTGTTGCCATTGCACACTGGTGCTGAGGCCAATACTTCAGCTTGGGCGAGTTGGTGAATCGTGCTAACACTTCACAACGCACAAAAACAACACACTATCAAAAATATATACACATAAAGAAATAACTCTCACACAGCACTGACCGTCAACTCTGGGATATATTAAACAGTATCTTTGTCATTGTTTACTCTTATGCACTAAGGAGAAGATAAAAAAAATTAACCAAGGAAGAACAGAGAAGGAAAAAGAGAAAGAAAAGAAAAGAAAGAAAAAGAAGACAAGGGTATAAAATACCAAATGAAGAAAAGAAAAGGAAATGAAAGAGGAAGGGAGAAATTGCCAAGGCTCATTCTACACTTGGAATAGGGGACATGTTCGCTGAACAACGGTAAGAGGGGACAATTCAGTTTGAAATGTTCAGGCTTTGCTCTATTATAAAAGCCTCAAATAAACAAGTTCTAAAGAAAAAAAAAAATAACAAAAATGTTGCTGTTCTTCTTTGGCGTGCACGCCACATTGACTGCGCAAGAATGGAATTCTGAGACGTGCGGAACCGCAGTGCTTTTCACTTTACCTTCAAAAAGCCACCAAGACCCTGCACATAGTGCCATCATGTGGCGTCATGAACAAGTGGCACGCATTCCATTTTCTGCTCGGCACACCTCCCCTTATAGCCAGCATACCTGCGTCTCCGATCACGGCTTTCCCTTTCGATATGCCCACTGGTGTCCAGCGTTATGACAATTGGAGGCACAATAAAAACCAGGTTGCACGCTCTTACCCGAAACTGCCTGATCCAAATTGATGTATGCGACTGTCCGATGGAACAGTTCTTTTTCGTGAGCCTGGAAAAGAAAAAAGTTATATGTAAGCGTGTTGGACTGATACATAATATCTGAGGGATCCTCCCTGCCTCCCGCCTCCCGCCTCCCGCCTCCCGCCTCCCCCCCCCCCCCCCCCCCCCCCCCCCAAAAAAAAAACATGTGGAGAAAAAAAAAACATTTAGAGGCAGAAAGAATGGAAAGATTTATTACCTGGATTCGACGTATAAAGTATGAATTACAGTGGAACCTCGATTTAACCGAATCACCGGGTCCTGGGAATTAGTTCATTAAAATGGGAACTTCGTAAAATTAAGAAGGTAATTTTTCAGGCATAGGATTCAATGAATTTGAAATATTAACGCAGCAGCATCCCAAGAACTACCGCGCTATCATATTCGCGCAGCCCACAGGCTGAAACTTAAAAAAAATGTGCGTACAAGAAGTTTCCGATTGAGTCGGAACCCCAGTGATTGCGGGTGACGAAAAAAATTGAAGCTTTTGCCTCTGGAGAGAAAGGCAAATTTATTACCTAATAAACAAGTTTGTCATTTTCGGCTGAGCGAGTTTTGTGAGCAGCGAGCGCTCAAACTTCTCATAGCTGGCGAGGGAAATCAGAGCGTCTTTGTGCACCCAGCAAACTGCCAGAGAAGGTCGACAGCGTCCATCACCTGGCTTGGGAGCCTTGGCAGTTTCCCAATCTTAAAACTCCTCATCTGCATCGAAACGCTATTTCCTCGTCGTCGAGAACTTGCCTTGTGTAAGTGTCTGCGTCGCAGGTGTTCACGACATTGTTCAAGTTGTGATCTGCGGCTCCCTCGTCTCAACGACAAAGCTCTTCCCAGCAACTGGGCGATGTCTCTTCCTGCTCTTGTTGCGAAACCGGTCGTGACGAAAGCGGCGGAGGAGAGCATAAAAGCTGCCATCTGTCGCACGCGACAGTGAGCAATCGCCGCCGCTGTTGCCATTTGGTACAACTGATTCAAAGCCAGGAAGAAAATGCATTTTAGAAATAAATGAACTGCGCAAAGGACGAGGACAGAGGTAGAAACGAGTACGACACACAGATTTTTTATGTTCCAAGAAAATCTGTGTGTCAAACTCGTTTCTACCTCTGTCCTCGTCCTTTGCGCAGTTCATTTATTTCTAAAATCATGAACCAACTAGCCCGCCAAAAGGTGTTACTTGAAGAAAATGCACATGCAGTTTTACTTTGTAGTTTCTTAAGAACCAAAATGACGATGCTCCGTTGCCTCGACTGTACCGCTCTTACGCCGGCAGCACGCTGCCAGGCATTCTAGATGCCACAAATTTGGAAAAACCTCTTTTTCTATGTATCTTTTTTTTCCGGAATGCGTCATTAAATCGGCTTTGGCGGCCAAGTCTGTTTCGTCATTTCGAGTTCGTAAAAGAATTAAGCCTGTGGGCAGCTGCAGGGGGAAGCCTAATTTGTTTAAAAAATCAAGAAATTGGTAAAATCTGGTTTTGTGAACTCGAGTTCAAATTGTATAAGTGGTACTGAAGGGCGAAACATGAGACGTTCCTCCTAAATTTAGTAAACAGAGGTCAAGTGACGTCCTCGGCGTGACATGGTCACGTGATATGACATCACAAGACCACGCAACTCGCCACCCCCGACGTAGTAACAGTGACGTCACGCCACGCGTCAAGTGACCTTGTAACTCCTACCGTAAAATACCGGGCAAGCGCCCACTCAAACTTTGGAGATAATCGCAAAACAATAGGGGATGGGCGCTTGACCGGTCATCAATTTTACATATAAATGTACTGTGCATATTTTCTCATATCTTACAAAGTTGGTAATGGACGTTTAATGTGGAATGGGCGGATGCGCAGTATTCTACGGTAGTGTCACCAATGACATGACAATGAGACCCCAGATTGCTAGTGGCTTCGACAACGTGATCATTGCAAGCCCGTGCTATCATGTTTTCGTAGCAACTTTCGAGATGCTCTAGACTTGGAAACTAGCCCATGAAAGCATTCTGCTTTATGGAAGCAAAATTCTCTTTCCCTTGATCATGCTGAGAAATGCCAGGGAAAGCAGAATGTGTCTTGCACACCACACAGGTGCGTGACGCATTCCACACAGGTGCGTGGGACACTAGCACAAACCACACTCCCTCTGTGGTTTGTGCTAGTTTTTTCATTGTGCACCACAGATACTAGCCAGGGCGAGACCGAGCAAATGTGCGCGCCGCACGGGCACTACCTTGTATGGCCCTCGCTCGTAACGTCAATGAGGCGAGCGATCGCAAGCTATGACGTCACTCTTGCCAACGGCTTGCCGGGATCTCAATCCTTCTGCAGCATGTGTGCTAGGCAGCTCAGTGCCTCTAGTATTCAACTGCACCGACCCCAATTTGAGCCCTGCCCTAACTTTACGCATAACCTTAATGTCAGGCAATGCACCAAGCACTTGTTCATGACGCTCCTTCCCGACGTTCGTTCCTGCCCTTCCTGACGCTCTTTCCCGACGGTTGTTCGCGACAATTTTATCTTTGAAAACGAGTCGTAGAACACATTCTGCGTTAATGCACGAAATCTCAAATGGTCAACTCGGAACACGTCTCACCTGAACCCACTCCGTGGAGCCGACCATGCCGAATTCCTCGGCGTCCCAGCTCGCAAAGACGAGCGTCCGACCTGGCGTCCAGCCTGGGACACGCAAAAAGTCGGACGGCCAATGGCAAAGCCGAGTATCGAGCCAAATATAACTCTATATACTCTGTTTCACTGTACGATAGATCGCAAAAAACGACCCATTGAAACCACCCCAATGCCGTGTGAGCGTCACATGACATTTGGACGGACACAGCAACCTGCAAAGTGCGTATCATGTAATACATTTACAGCGATCGGTTGGCTAGGGTGGTTCGTCCGCTGCGGTCCATCGCGGAATATGGAACGGAGTATACAGTGTGTGCCACAGAGAAAAACAATACAAGTAAAAGAGATAAATGTTCTAATCTCTTTTCACGTCATAGGATGAGAGTAGCTGAAATGAACCAGCCGACGAGGAAAAAAAAGAAGAATAATTAATAAAAGAGGAAAACAATAATTACATAGTTTAACACGAGCCGACTGATGCAAACATTTAACATTCATGGCGGGGAAGTGTGCTGGTAGAAGTGACGTGTATACAAGGGCCAAGACTAGAGCCACTCGATAAGGCACGCTTCGTAGTAACCTTGCGGCTTAGTATTGTTGTTGCCAGTTATCTTAAGCTTTAACTGAAATTGCAGGAAATGCTTTTCTGTCCTCCGAAAATGTTGGAGCAGTTCACGACAGAGCAAAATGACGTTGCCCAAGCTTCACCGACACCGCATCCAAAGCTCAGGAAGTCGCTTTTTGGTAGCGCAACTATAGCCAGTTGTGCTAAGCACCAAAATGGCGGCGTCCACGATGCAATCGGGGAACGGAGCATCCATACTACAAGCGTAGCTTATCCAGTGGCTAGGGGCGAGACGACTTTAAAATGGGCAGCGCAAACACTTAATGGGACGTCTTACTGCCCACCACGAAGTCATCTCGTTACGACATATTGCCTTTTTTTTTCCTCGTCGGCACAGTCAGCACGGGATGTAACGACTCTCGGCAGCGCACCTTTCTTCTTCAGGAGGCCAAAGAGCCGCACCAGCTCCATCAGTGCGGCCATTCCGGTTCCCGGATCGCCGCCGCCCTTCGTCCAGGCGTCGTGGTGGCAGCCCACAATGACGTAGCGCCCTGCATGCAGCCGTTGTGGCTTCTATCGAGTGTTTTACTAGGGTTGCGCGAATATTAAATTTTTATTATAGTAGTCTAGAATAATATGCTATTCGATGTTCGCTTTAAGATGAACTGCGATATTCCTACTTTTCAAAGCGTCGATTAGGGCAAATTAGCTCCGATCAGTGCTCTTCTTGCACGGCTCCGGTGCACTGTAAGGAAGCGATACCCACGGTGCTGATACCACATTGCTGCACACTTTGCTTCGTTACAGCAAAAAGGAAACGGAAACTTGGTGAATCTTGACATGTACATTGCGGTGAAATTCTCAAAGTTGAACTGCGGCTAATATGCAAGAGTGAGGAACGGCATTCATCGTTCGTGCCTGTTTTTCTCTTTTTAATTCGAGAGTGAGGAAAATATATAGCGAGAGGATTTATAAATCCCCTCGATGCGGTATAGCTGACTCTCTATATGCTTAATTATATGTCAAACTTGCCACACCAATGTAGGCACCGGACTGTTCACACGTGCAATAGTTTTTATGAATGTGAGAATATGGCGGTGATTCGCTACTCGAGTTCTTCTCACCTGGCTCGAAGTTGCCCATGATGACTCCAATCACGTTGTGAATGTCGGCCCTCCGGAGGATGTTGTGCACCGAAAGTTGCACCTGACTGCAAATCAAAAACAAGAAATTCAGATTGATGTTTAAACAAAATGGCAGACTCGGATACAACCTCCAGCACGTGCTTGTTGCCTTTTGTCGTGCTTTGGTGTCGCGTGCATGCTCGAAGCTCACGAGAAGTGTTAGCGAGGGCAGGAGGCTCGCACTCTACAACTGAAGCAGCCCTCCGGCCATTCTAATCCTCTCGGTGATGAAGCAACTGGTAGCGGCGCTAATGCAGTATGTCACTTCATGATGCGTCTTCATTCCCACAATAGACATTGGCAAACATTTAAGAACTTTGCAACAACCCAATAGCGATGGAACCTTCGAAATAAATAGTCCTAAATTCTAAATTAATTGCTTTTTAAACTTAAGTGCTGGCAAGGGTGCTTCGAGGCAAGGTGATAATTGTGGCAGTGATGTCTCCGAAACAAAAGTTTATATATAGGATGTCCCCGAAAAAAATTTACGGTTATTTTTTTTCACCGCAAAACTAAACTATGCATCGCTAAACGCTCATTCTCCGCCAAAAGGTAGTGCTAGAGGTTCGAACCAGATGGCAAAGTTTTAGCGCGAACCAATATTTTCTTCGAAAGTTATAAATGGTTTTCTAAAAATCTGAATGGGAAAATGGTGGCCTACGAGGCTCTCGAATAGATGGTGCTCTAAAGTGCCAGAAACCAAAAACATGCAAAAATGGGCCCCATTTTCCCACAGAAATTTTCAGAAAATTGCCTATAAAATATTGGTTTGTGTTGAAACTTTAGCATCTGGTTCGCACCTCTAGCTCTACCTTTTTGGCAGAGAAGGAGCGTTTGGCCATGCATAGTTTATTTTTGCGGTGAAAAAAAAACCCCATACATTTTTTTTTCTCGGAACAGCCTGCATTGCCTACTCGCGTTGGAGTGTACGCTTTGTGTGCACGACAAAGAAATGGTTGAAGGCCCACGCACGTATCTTCTCCAGAGCTGTACCCAGGTCCCAGGTTGTAGGTGATGTTCAACTTTCCCTGCCACTCCAGCGGAGCCATGCTGCCCGACATGCCGCTGCGGTCCCAAGTAATGCGGGTCAAGGAACGAGAAAGCACTTTCCCACACAACATAATCGCTAGTCAAATTCATTTTAAGGGCAGAGTTGAAGCTAATACTTACTAGTGCTTTGAAATTCCAAGGATGCTTCGTTAAAAAGAGTTTTTGCTAAGACTGTGGGAAAGAAAAGCTAGCTTTGGCAGGCCCTGCCAAAGCTAGCTTTTTTTTGCTCGACTCAGCTTGCCAAAGTGGCAACCCAAGTGGAGTCTCGAGCACTCACATGCCCCAAGCTTGGCAGGCTTCCTTTCACACGGTCTTAACTAAAAGCTGTTACTAACAAGCCACTTCTATAGTTATAAGGTCTCTCCATATTCAAACGCAGCCGTATTGGCTCGCTGGGATATTTTCCAGCAACTGTTCAATGGTCCAAGCACTCAGATTGCTGCAGCGATCCCACCCTTTCAACGCTGATCACACCCACTTTCCGTCAGCATGGGCAACTACATCACAAACACACAACCGAGGCTCGTGTGTACAAAGCTCATCTTTTATTCTGGTTACATTTGTGCCTAGATGGGGGATTTCTAGGTCACATGACTGGCTCCAAAGGCACCATAAATAGGTATTATAAAGGGCATCTACCTAGAACTGGGGTTCTGCATTTTCCGCTTAACGATAAACGTATGCTGAATTCCTTTCTCAGAATTCAGTTTTAACTGAAAAAAGTCCAATAGTTTAGGGTAGTGTGACACAGCTAATAAACTTTTTGTGTAGGGGCAGGGTTCGTCCCTGCATCATTTTGTGACACACTTCCTTATAATTATAGTAAAACTTTATATTCCATTCGAAATACACGAATGGCAGAAACAAGAAGAAAAGCTGTAAAACAGCTTGACGAAGCCCCTCGCTCCCTTGCAGTTTCGTATGCATAAGAAATGGAACGTAGCAACAGCACAAAATATATCAAAATACAGAATAAAACTTAACATGTCAAACAGAAAGAATATTGACTTAATTCATTTCAAGAAAAGCTTGCACTCTTATAGACATTACCGTAGTATCCCAAGTCATCGCCCATCCCCGAGCCATCGCCCACCCCAGTTTTTGGGCCAATATCGATTTCCGAAAAAACACCGAGTCATCGCCCACCCCTTCAAATACCCCAGCGCGGACTCTGCGATCCGCGAACACTCATCCTACCCGGATGATGCGGCCGCGGACCTTACAGTTGGAGGACGTCCGTGACAAAGTAAAACGAAGGAGGGAAAGACACTTCTTTTTGTTTACGCATTTCCTCCGTGAGCGACCCCAAAGTGGTCGTGTATCCGTGCGAAAAGAAAACGATGGAGATAACAAAATAAGAGTTAGTTAATGTAACCGCGGAGTGTTAAGGTCAAAGTCTGTCTCTGCCGAAGTGAGGTCACCGCGAACCCGCTCCTTCTTCCCGCCCGTCGCGACCGCGGTTGTGCAATATTTTAGGCAAAGCCAACGCGTAAATAAAGCTTTGCTGGAACGCCCTACACAGACGTTTGCAGAGCGTCCCAACCGTGCGTTGATAGCCCGCCGTGCAGAGGCTCCAGAAGTCTTTCTTTAGAGGGGGGGGCTCGACATCTCCGAAATCCTCAAAGTTAGGTTGGTTTCAGGTTGACATTAATTGCCACATTTGAATGAAAACATATTAATGCACCGCGTTCGCATATTCACGGACATATCCATGGAAAACAAATTAAAACAATGGTTCAGTAAAATAACAGTAAGAAGCTTGCACTGACAACTCATACAATGATTGGATAACCACTGAAATCAGCCGCACCATGTGTTCTTTATTTTTTCTTTCCTATACCAACTGTTACATGTCAACCGCAGCTGTGCCTATGCCAAATTGGCTATGTCTAAGAATGAAAACCTTCCTTCATTTAGGGATTCTCGGGGATGCATGATGTATTAACGCAGACGTAGACAAACAAGTGTTAAAAGTTTTAGACAAAACCCCGAGACTCGGGGGAAAAAAGGACAACACAACACGGAGTCTCAAACACAGCAAGTTGGGCCATCGGATGTCTTAACTGGAAGCAGAGGTTGCATACATCGGTATGTACCTCAGGATCAAGTACATCGACCGTGATCGCTTCGGACTCCTGGCGTCAATACAAGTTGGGGGGGCATCACCAAAGGGGGGTACTGAAGGATAAGAGCTGTGTTTCAGACTTCGTGTTGTGTTGTCCTGAGTTTGTAAACATGTGTCGCCTCATGCCTCACCACCCTGCGGGCACGACGCCGCATGCGCGCAAAGCTTTCGCCATCGAAGGCGCCTTGTCAAATTTGGGAGCTCGTAGACTTTCGCCTTTTCTAAGCACTCCCGAATCCCCACTCAAGCTCACCAGCCCCAGCCCCCCCCCCCCCCCCCCCCCCCCCCCCCCTCTCCTAATGATGGCCTTTAAGCGCCGCGGTAGTACCGCCTGCCTGTTTTGTCCGCGGGCCAGAAGCACCATGCATCTTCTGGGCCTCTTGCTTCCACACGGGGGAAGCAGACAAACGCTCGCCGACGTCGTCTTGTCGGAATCCATTCCTTTTGCTGTCTCCTCTTTGCTCGCTTTAAACTGGTTGTCAATCAGGCTCATGAGTCCTGCCTGTCATTTTCTTCTGGTTTTGACTTTTCAAGCAAGCCTCTCCGTCGCCCCGGTGCTTTTTGTGCTTGGCGGAGGTGAGGAGAGCGGTAGGTCAGCATGCATAAAGAGTCATTTCATTTATTTCGGCTCAGGAGAGACGGAGGTACAGCAGATAGGCCGAAGGCCCATACCAGATAACCTGCAAACACACAAACTAAAAAAAAAAAAAAAAAACGAGGGAGGGGGGGGGGGGGGCTCGGCAGCTCGGTCCTGAGGACAGGAGGGGCTCAAGCCCACCCTGCCCCCCCGCTTCCGGAGCCCCTGCCGCCGTGCACGGACGCACGTATGTACGCACCAAACAAGAAAGTTGCGCAAGAGCTTGCAATTGACAAGGCGCCCGACTTGGCCCGACGCCAAAGTATTTGCCAACGCGACCGCCGGCTTTCCCGCTTTCCCAGCATTGCTCTTGGTCGCTTCTTTGGTCCGCTCGCTCGCTCGCTCGTTGCGCCTGGTCGGTTTTTCTATTTTCTTGTAGACTTTTCTTTTTTTTATTAACTAGGAGAACATAGTGGTGACATTCTTTCACGGAACAAACGTTCGCGCTATATGCAGATCGGCGGTGTTTCTAGCGCGTATGCAAGCAACGGACTTCGCTATAGTAAAATATTCTTTCGTCAGCATTTTTTTTCGATAAAACAATGAAACTAAATCAAGTTTTGAGTTTGATGTATCTCTTGTGCATCAGCGCTAGATACGCAGAGAAAAATAGGCGGTTTTTTCCGCCTTTTTCAAGTGTTTGTGCTCACCCACCGAGACATGGCCCACCCCACTTTTTTAATGAATTTCAGGCGGTAGGGGGGTGGGCGATGACTCGGGATATTACGGTATACCAATATTTCAATTTCCTAGTGTATTAAGTAAACTGGGGAGTGTGTATTTCAGTGACTGCATAGAATAATTATTATGACAAAACGGCACAGTCCAATGCTCCGCCGAACGAGTTGGTTAGGTTACTACATGTTTTTTAGCTGAAGGGTTTGCTAAGGTATTCTCATTTCTTTTCTAACATAAAAGAGACCATAAGTTTATAATTGTATATGTTGAAAACACGTAATAAATTATATTGGATCATACTATATTATATTAAGCTATCTTCGGGATCACCCTACTGTGAGGAGAGGGCAGCGGAAACGACCGAGTGCCGCAGCAGCACACGATGCGCCGGCAACGCGGCTTTTTCGACCTCCAGATGGTGCGGGAGCGGCAAGAGAGGGCGGCATGGATCCGGGAAGCGAGGAGCGGGGGAAACCAGGGTAGCCAAGTGTGGCAGTCAGAGAATGTCTGTGCAAGAATAAAGAATGTGCATTGAGGTTCAATAAACCCTTCTCCTTCGAGATCGGGATCCATGCGTTAAATTCCCATCCTTTACAGGTAAGCTTTGGATTGTTTTTCTTGTCCATAATGCCCCACAACTTTGCAATACATTTTCCAAGACCCGTGCATTGCAACCACAGCTTCACGAGCAAATGAAGTAAGCGCAGTGCTTTGAAATGTGGTACTGACTGCATTTCGGCACCCACATTAGCCACTGCACATAGTACTTTGTATTGGCAGCTTGTCAGTTTCGAGCGTAAACGCATGGCCGCTCCTGTGGAAAAGAAGCATCGAGCGGTCTTGAAGTCGTTCTCGAATTTGACCATCATAAACAAAAAAAATAACGGCTGTGCATTAGTATAGAAACAATAAGTTATGGTATACATGTTGATTTATTGCAATCATATAAAATAGTTGCGATCATGAGTGAAATTAAGCTTCCCTGTTACGTTTACCCAGGTTAGAGCACATGTCGACATATCCCTTGTACTTGCCCGTACCTGTTTCCTCGCTGCTTTAATGCTGCGCTGTGACTACAAAGGATATTTACGAATTTGTCTCATTCACTATTATGGCCAGTCATATAGATTCCGACTGTCACCTTTCATCTGGCAGCGGCAGATTTCCCATGAGACTGTGCTAAACACTATCATTTGTAAATAATCGCCTAGTGCTGACAAAAAATTTCCACACATATCCCAACAAGAAAGAGGAAACTTCAGCCTCTACAAATCTACAGAAAAAACCAAAATGTTGCACCTTTGCCGTACTAGCGTGGCAAAGGCAGTTGTAACACAGAATGCGACTTGTTTGTGTGAAGAAACTGAGTCCCCTTGTGGAGAATGGATGGTGCAAAGCAGCCCCGTGTTGTGCAAGGCAAGCGACTGAGCGTGCCGTGGACGTCTTACTTTTGCGGTTGCAGTGTAAATGCAACTTTCTCAGAGCCAGTTGGAGTGTGAGACGCCGAAGAGGGAGCGTGCGAAAAAAGGAGGAATTGAAACACGGCAGCACCGAGTAAAGCACTGACGCCAGCACGCGGCAAAGGGAACTGAGCACTCGAGGCAAAGCGAGTGTCTGCATTTTTTTCTTTCCGCCGGTTCCTCGCCCTCTTTCTCTGGGGAAGCCCAGAGTGTACTCGTTTCATTGAGCATAGCGCCGCTGGCGCTGCTGTATGTCTGAAGACGCGACTTCTTTCCTTCACCGGGAGTTGATGGAAGCACTCGAGGAAGAAAGAGACAAGCGCTGCGTCAACGTTCAACTGGCAGTCGACCGTCGAGTTCTGTGACCGGCACCTAGCCGGACATGGTTAGGGGCCAGCCATATAACACATTCTCTGTTAAAACATACTTTATAGATAAAAACGAAAAATGATCTTGCCACCGGTACTGCTGTAACCGCCTGGCAATTGGCATGTTGATGTAGGAATAAAGTCATAGGGCGCAATCTGTGTCATGATTTAATACGGGGGTTTTCAAACAGGGTTCCACAGGCCCTTTAAGATTCATAAAGTCCCCATTTATAAAAAAAAACTTAGCAATAAAACTTTTTAAAAATTTTTTTGTCATACACACCAGAAACATCACATTTTTGAACTCGAGGAATGACCGTATTAATTAGAATATAGGTCGACATTTTTTTTTTTCCGCCACTGTTTATCCGTTTTAGCTTTTCTTAAACTCCAAGGAAATTACGGAAGGGAGTGGGCTACAAAATCTAGTAATTTAACGAGAGAAAACAACAAGTCCTAAGAATGCAAATCAATGCTCGTTAATAAAGAGAAAAAATGTTGAAATTATTAAGGCAGTTTCTAAAGGCAAAGCTATCAGTAGGGTTCGGAGTTTTCGGTTTAAACCGATAAAAGTATGCCGAATTCATTTTTGGAAATTCGGTTTTAAGCGAAAAAGGTCAGTTTGTAGGTTCGGCGTTTTCGGTTTAAACCGATAAAAGTATGTCTAATCCGTTTCCTAAACTCGGTTTTAACGGAGAAAGGTCAGTTTTTTAGGGCTGCGTCGAGGTGGGTGGGAAAGTGGGGGGGGGGAGAGAGAGAGAGAGGGCTTTGCAAGGTTTGACATTGTCTGACGCCTTCATGATTGCCGTCTTTCAAGGTTCAACATGCAACAAAAGAGGCATTGGATTGGCCTTCGCGAGTCAAGTTCCTGGTCCTAAAAAAATAAGTTTGGATGTGGGCTAGCATAAGGTTTTTCGCTTCATGCACTTCAGAGAAAAAAAATACAATGGATTTTCTTTTTCTTTTTGCCATTCTGCTAGTTCTTGTACGGTCATCACCTCAGAAGATCACGTCGTCACAATGGAAAAAAAGAAGCGCGCTGAAGATTATGCACGCAAATTTCGCGATTTTGAGGTGTGTCCTGACGGAAGTTGTAGCGAAGACGTTGTATGTATATGTGTCGTTATTCTTTGAGTGATCACAAATATCACAGCTACAAAGATCATCTGATCCGGTGTCCGATTCCGTTTCCTTCATATTCACCGAAAAAAAAAAGGGGTAAACATTTTGGGGAACAAATATACAACGAAAAAAAAAAAAAAAACGAAAATTGAATTTTAAAATAAACAGCGAAAAAAGTATGCAGAATTTTTAAAAAATAAAAACCGAAAACGCGGAACCCTAGCCATCAGTAACAGTAGATACCACACACTCGAAGATGGTTCCATGAGAGCATGGTGAGGTAAGCTGAGGGCATGCAGTTGACCGTTCTGGAAGTTTGGATGTTATGTGGCCAGTGCAATGAATTTCAAGTAGGGAGCATATTGCGAAATAAGCATGAATTTGTAGGGTGTCCCAATTCACCAGGCTCAACCTGAAATGGACCGTAAAAGTCGGCGCCTGCATGAAGCAATCTAAACTTCAGGTCAAAGATGTATTCATAGGTCGTTTTTTTTGTCTAAAATTACAAAGCGTAGCTCCCTTTCTGTAAAAAAAACAGGGCCAAGAAACTTGCTCTGGTCAATGGAGGACGGCAACGCAGACGGCCGAGTCGAGATGCGGGGCGCGTTTGGTGCGCGTATTGATAGATGGCGTCGGGAGCAGTGTCCGAAAGTGTAGTTGACGAGCGGAAGAAAGCAGACAACACACAGACGAAATCTGTTGGCAGGAAAAGCACCGTCGTTATGCAAACACTTTTTTATTTTACTTTCAGTTTTGCTTTTATTGTCCGCATTAACTTTTAGACCAAAGGTACTTAAAAAAGGTTATGTTCATTTTCACAAACCACGGTGGTTACGAGCAGTCTCAATAAGGAGGTAGAGCCATCTATTAATATAGGCGACGCGCCCTGCCAGTTGACTTTGTCGTCTGCATCACAGCCCGCCGTTGACCCTGGCAAGTTTCTTGGCCCAATTTTTTCCAGAAAGGGAGCTACGCTTTCTAGTTTTACAAGAAAAACTGACCTGGGGAAATACACCTTTGACAAAAAGTTTAGATTGCTACGTGCAGGCGTCGATTCTTATGGTCCATTTTAGATCGAGCCTGGTGATTTGGGACAGCTTATAGTTCCCTCCGTCTTTTTCGCAAATCAGGATTGACTTATATTCAAACGTTTTGTAATATATTTTGGAGAGCTCTCTACCTCAGTACAGAGGCTGACCTATATTCCAGTAAACCTGTGACTGTTCTACTCATTTAACACACCCCCTCGCTGCGGATGGTTGTCCCCCATCAGTTCTGCAAACCCCCAAGGGGCCCACAAGAAAACCACTGCTTCAAAAGATCACCTTTTCCCGAGGACCAAATATTATTCTGCGAAACAAATTACAAAAACAATTCAGACAAGAATTACAGCTGCAGGTTACGCACAATCCCAAACACTTAAAACCTGAATCATCCGTAAGCAAAACACTAAAATATCCTAATTACAAACACAACAAAGAGGGCGTCACCTTAGCAACTCCTGAGCGTCGTTATAACTGATGGGTTGCACGGGAATGGACGGAAGATCCAGCAACCGACTGTCGCTCCCGGGGGGCGTGTACACATCCTCTGCGAGAGAATGCAAGGCTCGTCGACAAAAATCAACCAAGCAATCTTTCTTTCTAGAAGCAGATCATTGTGCCGTTTCAGACTATACCTGCCACTGCAACAACACCCATAAAGTGCGAGAACTTCAGCTCCCCATAAAACACCCAAAAAGGAGTGCAACAAGAGAATCGGATACAAGGACTTTGCAAAATAATCACCATTTTGTTTACGCATACAGTGCCTCAAAATGTGTACAGCATAGGCTCGCTGAAAAGCCGCTATCGTATTCGTTATATTTTTACTGCAGATTGGTTGCTGCGTTTCTATTTAGTACAATACCCGAAGCATTCAAGCGCGCACGTTTTAACATGCCTGGGGGTGGGCTTTCCCCGTGCATACTATCGTGCAGCGAGAATCCTGGCAGGGACCGCTGTCGCCCTCTCTACTCTTCCGCGGTCACCCTAGGAAGTTCTAAAAAGTCACCACTCCACCTGCGGATCACCAGGCAGGTGGAGGATCAAGCTGGCCAAACTGGCACGCAGACAACTGAGAAAATGAGACTCGATGTACGCGGCGATATCAACAACGTGTCTCCGAAGGAGCGTCGCAGTGTTTGCTTGCGCCGCAAAAATGAACTGCACATCGCTCATTGCTCCGTTTCTGCCCAAAAGTAGCACTTGCAGTTCAAACCAGATGCCAAAGTTTCAGAGCTTACCAATATCAGCGATTTTCAGAAATTCATTACGAGGAAATGGCGGCTGACAAAGCCTACAAATGCATGGAGATGAATGGCGTCGACTACCGGGAACAGGCCCCATTTTCTCAATGAAAATTTTCGAAAATCACCTACCGTAAAATAACGGGCAAGCGCCGACACAAAATTTAGAGATAATCGCGAAAAAATGGGGGATAGGTGCTTGTCCGGTCATCATTTTTACGTATCAATGTACTGTGCATATTTTCTCAGATCTTACAAATTTGGGAGTGGCCGCTTAACATGGAATGGGCGGATGCGCAGTATTGTATGGTATAATTTTTTAAAGGGATGGGGACCAGCAATAAAACTGAAAATTCAAATATTTATTTCAATTATTTATTTACCGATCTACGGGGTACTGCAAGCCTAAATTGTGGCCGAAGCATTAATCGGATAACGGCAAGTTCTATGGCATCTGGTCTCGATCATTAGCATTACACTGGACCGAAGACCGAGCATACAGCGATGCATGCATAGTTTGTTTGTGCGGTGACAAAGAAACTACCGTGAAATCCTGCATGAACGCCCTCCCTCGAGAGAGTGCCCAGCCCGTGTTTCTGGCTAAATATCCTGTTGTATTGTCACTAGCGTTGTATTTCAGCATTTTTATTCCCGCGCAGGCGAGCTCTTTCCTTGCCCCTATTCCGTTCGCCGATGCAAGAAATAGTCGGTACCCTGCCTTTCCTCCTCTCCCTCTACCCTTTCAGTACCCTCCTCCCGCAAAGAAAACTTTATATTGCAGATGGAACCAAATAAAGACATAGCTACTCTGCTACCAGCCTTCCTTCTGGTTTGTTCTTGCCGCACGCAGCGGCTTATGCGATGCGGCATATGCGATGCGGCATATCCATAGGCTAAATATTCAAAAACATTGTTCACCTCCAGTTTCCGCCAAAAAATCCAGCGATGCCCGACGAGAATCGCATCGGCCGAGCAAACTGTGGTATCGGCACAGGTTCTTGCATGTTTATCGCACCTTGATGCCCGACTCCACGACCTGCACGCACGATGTCGGTTCCCGTGACAGGCGAGTTTGTAGCGGGTTCCTGTATGCTCATTTAATTGTGAAATGCAAAGCTGCGCCTGCAATCTGCGATATCAGTTCCTGTGACATGCGAGCTCGTAGCGGGCTCCCGCGGGTTTTTTCCCACAACGGAACCCAAGTTTGCTGTGTCCGCAATACTGTCACCAATAAAAATAGGAGACAAACGTGAAAGTGAAAAAAATTTATGGCAAATTGCTAGGCAATTGTGTTGCATACATGAAACGTTCTTGCATCACAAATGTTTAGCGATACTCCGAGTTTCTAGGAACAACCATGCGTACACTCGATAGCTGTTCCTTGAATGGAGCAATACTACCGCTAATCGGCTGATAAACCTGGCGACCTTCAAGAGCCTTCCATACTCTTGAGCTCCTCTCCCTCAGCGTGCACAGGCGGTCGAGCTCCTCCTCGCCCACCCCTGTGGTCGCGTGACCTCCCGTTAACCAATCAGCATCGAGCAACTCACTCGTCCTTTCCCACCCATCAACCAATCCCATTCGTCAACCAATCAGTGTCCAGCCTCGTGGCCAGGCTTTTATCCCGGCTTTACTTTTATCTTGGCTTCATGAAATGCCTAACACCTAGTCAGAGAATGTCTCACGTTAATAAACGTGTACTGAGGTGAACCTGCACCTACGGATTTAAAGAGGAAGGCACCAGTCTCTTGCATCGAAGGGAGAACTGTTCCGTAGCAGCACGCTACTGCCGCTTTTATACCGGCGGTAGATTTGGGAGTGTTGTGAACTATACTCGTTTTCATCTCAAGAACCATAGTATAGAAAGTCCGGCTCCTTGTGGAGCATTACTAATTTCCCCTTCTTATCTAGAGAAATAAGATATATGTACCGTAGAATACCGTGCATCCGCTCATTCCACACTAAGTGCCCATTCCCAAATTTGAAAGATCTAAGAAAATATGCATAGTACATTGATATGTAAAAGTGATGACCGGACAAGCACCCATCCCCCATTTTTTTGCGATTATCTCTCAATTTTGAGTGGGCGCTTGCCTGGTATTTTACGATAAGTACATTTTAGATTAGACAGATCAACATATACACACATCAAACGCCATATACGCATCGCTTCTTATTCCGACAAATAGGTCTTGTAAGATTACTTCGAGCGGCGTATGAACAATGTGTAGAACATATTTTTTTCTTGAGGTGAAAACGAGCCCAGAACACACGACAGAAGCAAAGAATGGGTTGGAACTTTCCAAAAGAGCCAAGTTTTACAAAAAGTATGAACTGCGGGACAACCGGGGTTTGAACAAAGTTCCTCTGCATAGCAGCCGCGTGCATTGCCAACTCTGCCACTTATGAGGCAGTATGCATGCGTGATATCGGTTCCCATGACATACGAATCCGTAGCAAGTTTCTCACATCGTGGAACGCAAATCTGCTGTCTGCAATCTTCGGTATCAGTTCCCGTGTTGATAGCGGGTGCCCGTGCTGTTCATTGGTCATTTTACGGCGGTAGCTGTTGGTGCCCCTATCTGGCAAAAAATACTCACGTACGAACGCAAAACCACACTCCACTGCTCTCCATCTCCCCGTTAATTCTCACACACAGCAAAGTTCTCTTTCACCCCCCCCCCCCTTTTCCCCCTTGTAGGCTGCCGCTGTACCGAAAAACCCACATGATTGCGGGGTCGCGGAGAGAACGCTCTCCCTTCTTCCCCTCCCCCCCTCCGGCAGTTGCCATTGCAAAATACCCACGTGGTTGCACTGTGCGGACACACTCCCTCACCTCCCCACTGCCGCTGCCCAAAGTATGTACACGAGGTGTTCTGTAGAGGTGCTCCTTGCCTCCACAGAACAGCTCGCATGCATACTTTCGATTCTTCTACCGCAGGCGCCCCCATTCTGAAGGTCAGTCAAAAGAACAGCACGTCTCTGTGTCCTCTTTCAATACATGCAACATCTCGCACAATCATTCCACCAAAACACACAGCTCCTCACACATGTCTCCCACGTCAATTCTACCAAAAGCAAAGAACCCATTACAAACATTGCACTGGCTGAAAGAAAATCTTCTTCAACGTGCCACAATGCAGCAGCTACTGCAGTCAATCGCAGCACTTTGGGCAGTTGTTTGCAATATTTTTTTCTAAACGTCCGCTGTTTCATTCCTAAATATTGATCACCCGATATTGTTCCCCATTGATCTCTTCAAACTGACTGGGTGCTCATACGAGGTCTATATAAGGCACAATATTGATGCTCCCAAGAAATACAACACACAAGACATTGATGAGTGACACTACTTCTCCCAAACAACCAATAGTATGTTGCTACCACTGCAGTGGCTCCAAAACGCATGCCAATAAAAGTACACTCGTGGAAAGTGGATCATATTGTGACAAATGCAATATGTTAAATGGAAGGCACATCGGTAGTTTAGCGCCATGTTGCAGTACAAAAATTTGCATCCAAATTGTGAGCTGTAGTCATACTTTTTGTCTAATGCTGGTCAATATATTGGCACTGAAAAAATCCATCATCTGGGTGAAGTCCTAATTTAAAACACTTTTTGTTCACTTTCCGCCCATTGAAAAGCATGGCGAAAGAGCCCTAGTATGCACCGAATCTCGTCGCCCCACCGTCTCCTGCCGCACGATAAAGACTGTCTGCTATGGTTCGTTACCATAGCAACGGGGCGTCTTCTTTATGTATAAATGTATGAATACAGCCTGTGAAGCCAGCAATGGCAGACGCAATCATCCAAATGCCGTCTGGTAAAGTGAACAGGGCGATTCTAAAGTTGGGTGCACCGTTGAGAAAGTCGACGCAAAGAATGGGAAGCGGTCGCCTGGCGAACTTTCCCAGCAAAAAATTCAGTCGTTCTTGGATACCGACCCGTAGCGGGGAGGTAAGGTGTCCCTGGATCCCCTGGGTAGGTCTTGAGGCTCCCCCTCTCCACAGCGTCCCCTGGCAGCCGCTCCCCGTTGGCAAGGACCGGGGGGTCGCCGGGGTCGTCGAAGGGGTCGTGGTACAGCACCGCTGCAGCCACCCCGCTCTTCTCCGCCTGCCTGATCTGCGCACAAACACCCGTTCCGACAGATAACCAGGTTCCAGGTTGAATAAACAATGATGATGATGAGGCTACTGCAAATCTCGCTCCGTAAGAATGCTACAAATTAAAACAAGTAAAAAAATAAATGCTTAGTACTATCTTAATTTTCCTTCCCTCTCCGCTTGCGGAAAACAATCTCGCCTCTGTTTCTTCCGTAAGATTTATCATCATAATCAAATGCTTAGATCACGCTTGATAAAACTTGCTTTCTTTACTTCACAGCGTCTCGATTATTGTCATAAATATTATCAAAACACAGTAACCTACTTATATTCTTTCATTCCAAAAACCAGCCTCAAATGGAATCGCTTACCTGCCTTTTTAGTAAGCATCACTGACGGTGATTGCTTTCGCGAAGCTGTTGGTAATATTGTATAATATTTTTCGTACCAAAATCGAGTGTTCCTTTCATGTATATTATTTTACGTTGATTATACTGTGCCTGTCTTTATTCTTATCTATTGTTTTTGTAAGGCCCCTCCCCTCTATAATGCTTCGGCCCTGAGGATAAAATAAACAAATAAATAAATAAATACCAATTATAGAGAAAGCTTGAGAGTATCGAATGAATTCATGAAAAAGTATTCTTCGATTCTCTCTGCCCATCATGCATCTCAAATGTGAAACTTCAGAATATAACCAACTCTCGACATACGAGGCTACGCCCCTGCCCCCAGACACACGAGAATGAATGGCGTCAACTACAGGGCCCCATTTTTCCGTTCCCAGAAGATCACTTGTACCTCTTGAACAAAATAACGGTTTGTCCTGAAGCCTTACCCCCTACTAGTCCAGACCAGTAGAGCTATATTTGGGCTGAGAATGAGCATTTGGCATAGCTTATTTTTACAAAAAAAAAAAAAAAAAAAAACACAAAATTTTTTTTAGGGGCACGCTGTACCCTTTGTCAAGTTAGGCTTTTAGCTTAACTTGACAAAGAGAGAAGGCTATCACCTCAGCGAGCCAATCGATGTGTCCGAACGCGAAATGTGAGAATGCATCGTCAAAGCGCTCGCCTCCTGCGCAGAGCTGTTGCATTCTTTGCTCCTTCACTCTGACTGGCCCAAGAGAGCAGTAGCAACCCCCGGTCACACTCCAAGTTTTGCGGCACTGACATTTGCATCGTTACCGTAGGCGGCGCTGTCAATAGCGCTGCCACTGATAGCGGTGCTTTGGTGGCATTGAAGCAAAAACGAAAATATAAAACTTCTTCATACAACCCCGATTTCTATACAACGTGTTTCGTGCGTCATGAAAATGAAATGTAATTTATCTTATATCTTCATTTCTGTTTGTTTCTCCTTTGGTCTGAAAACAAAACGACCAAGTGGCGGTTGCGTAAGCTGTCAAGACCGTCGGTACCCCGGGTTTCGGCACCACTGCTTTCCTCTCCCAACATTGTAACCACTGTAACGGTTGCATCGCTGCGTGTGGTTTTGTATACGCGAGGATCTTGCAAACAAGGTCTTGGTTTTTGGCATTCCGCGTGCCAGTCGAATTCGCTCGACGCTTTTGGTATAATCTTTTCGAAGCTTTGTTGAGGAACGTATTTGATGAGGCCATTCCCCAAGGCCAAGGACCAGAACTGCAATATATTTTAATGCGAAAGCATTAACTGTCTCATGAGGCGAGCCAACGTCATCAGCTTTGAAACCGCACCAAAAGGCACCCTATATCGTTTCTCAAAGTGAAGCCACCTCCCAGCTATGAAACCAAGCAAGAAGCCTAGCCAAACGGCACCTAGTTTCCCCGATCCCAAAGAAGCAGAGTCAAGCTGATGGATTCTGACTTCGATCCCATTGGCTGGCGCGCGTCGACGAGGCTCCCATTGGCCACTGCGCGTCAGTTTCAACGACGGCCACCCCATGGTGCACCGTGTCCGTCAGCGCGCCGCTAACACAAAACGTCCAAGGTCAGAGCGGCGAGGAGACGTCGACGCAAATATGCTGCAGACGAAATAAGGCAGCGGAGGAATGACGTCCATGCTTTTGCATTCACAACTCATAAGAAGTGCTTAGGTGTACATCGAGCCTTTTTCTTTCTTCATCCCAACACATGACAGGTGAGCTCGCACCCCTTCGTATTCACTCTTTTTTTAATGCGAAAGCATGAACTGGGTTTCATGGAGCGAACCAGCATTATCAGCTTTTGAAGTCGCGCCAAACGGCACCTAAACTCCCCTGTCCCAATGGAGCCAAGCCTGTCGTCTGTAACAGCGATTTGATGGATAGGCTCCCATTGGCTGGCGCGCGTCATAGTTTCAAGGAACGAGGCTTTCATTGGCTGCCGCATGGTGTAGCTCCAAGGAACACCACCCCACAGAGAAGCCCTGGAGGCGCAGTGGCCCGGCCGCCGGGAAGAGGGAGCGGCTGGCCGCAGGGCCCGCCCAGACAGACTCCGGAGAGGCCGCATGGCCAAGCTGAGCGCGGCACGGCCGCTTCACGAGAGCGTGCGCTCGGCCGTCAGCCGCAACCTCAGCAGTACGCCACAGACGAACTAAGCAAGCGGAAGAACGACGTTCATGCTTTCGCATTCACAACTGATTAGTGTCTTCGGAAGTTTTTCACTAGAAATATTACCGTTGAATTTTGCTGTTCGTAGCTGTTAATCTTGCAATCAAAAATAAAAGTAATATTTTTTATGAAATGAAGTGATGTGGTACGATTTAAAGTTGTAGAGCTGGTGCAGTCTCACTTAATGCACAACTCCACTCTTTCACGGTTATAATAAGGTTTAATTTTGAAAAATTTCTCGCGCGGTTCTCAAACAGACGGAGGACAATGCAAAGGAGAGGCGAATTTCGGCTTTACATTTTAGTTTGACATAAATTAAATTTAACCCTGGCCACGGGTGCGCTAGTTTTTTTCTGTTCCGCCTCCTGATGACTGAAATTCTCTATATTAGGACCACACTGTAATTACAGAAGCTGGGGACATAGGGCGATAGAGCGTGAACATTTTCTCATAGCTCCGGACGTACACTTTGTGGTTACTAAAGCTAAATTATCAACTTGTTTGAGTAAGGAGAGCACCCCACCACGGAAGAGGAATTTGGTGCTGCTGTACAAAAGCTGACTCCATTGGCTCTATGGGAAATGTTTAGGGGTTGGTGGTAGTCCCGTTTCCGTAAAATTACAAAGCGTAACTCCCTTTCTGTAAAAGAAATAGGACAAAAAAACTTGCCAGGGTCAACAATGGGCGGCGACGCAGACGAGAGAATCGGATGGTGGGGCGTGCTTGGTGCACGTATTGATAGATGGTGCTACCTCCTTATCGAGACTGCTCACGATGACCGTGATTTATTAAAATGAAGATAATCATTTTGTAGTGTACCTTTGGTTTAAAAATAAATGCATACAATAAAAACAAAACTTAAAGTAAAAAAAATGAAAGATGTTTACAATCCCCTGTAACGCCAAATTAGAGTGCAGCTTTTGAGGAGGAGGAGGGGAAGGTACGGAGAGTGCTCCCCTCCCATTTAGCAGAAAATTTTCGCTAAACCCGCTATATTTAGAGGAAAAAATTTTCCGCTAAATTTAGAATTCCCCGCTAGAATTTTTTTCGCTAAGTTTAGCGGGAAAATTTTTCCGCTAAATTTAGCGGGGAATATTTTCCACTAAATTTAGTGGGGAATTTTTTCTGCTAAATTTAGCGGATTTTTTCCACTCAATTTAGCGGGGTAAGCTTTCCACTAAATTTAGCGGGTAAATTTACCCATAGCGCCATTTGTCAATACGTGCGCCAAACGCGCCCCCCCCCGCTCGACTCTCTCGTCTGCGTCACCGTTGACCCTGGCAAGTTTTTTGGTCCTATATTTTACAGAAAGAGAGATACACTTTGCAATTTTACAAGGCAAAACTGACCTGAGAAGTACACATTTGACGAAAAGTTTAAATCGCTTCATTCAGGCGTTGATTTTTACAGTCCATTTTAGATTGAGCCTGGTGACTTCAGACACCCTATATGAGTGAAAGACTCCGCTCACCTTATTGCCACGATGCGTCTTGCCGTACCTGATGATGGCAATTGTTCTATTCAGTTCCACGTTCTTGCTCTTGAGAAGAGCAAAATCGGCCGCCGTACCGTAGTGTACATAGACCGGCTTTCCCTGAACAAAACAGAAGTAGGGCATGAACATGAAAGAAACAACTGTCCAATGAACTCATAATGCTAACATCAACATGTCACAGTGTTCACAAATGCAGTCAACTGCAAGAGGAACATAAAAACAAAACACAATCCAAAGTGAATAACCACATACTAACACAACCGAGATGCCTTTAGGCTGCACACCGATTGTCGCCAGTGTGTTTATTACCAGTGCATCTGATGCCCTCCTGTTTCATAAATGCTACTGCTACAAAAGCAAAATGATAGAATGGACCTATCTGGGAAATTGCGCTCGATAGATGTCCTTTCTGTGCTATGCAGGTCAACATTTGCCATTATTTCACTGGTACTGTCTCCACCAGTGGATCGTAAATGGGGGTCTGCGGACTCTTTGGGGTCCCTGAAGTTTTCAACCATCAGTGAAGCCGAGCAATAAAACTTTGTTTTATTATCGATGTTGGCTGTCCCACAGAGCTAAATAGACCAAACCATATGTGCTGAATGAGCAGGGTTGAATACTATCCATTACAGAGCTTCAAAGTTGGTTTGCACATATTTAGTTTTCTTATATACCTTTGTCACTGTAACCATCCAATACCCCCTCCCCCTGGGGGATTGGCCCTCATCCCCTTGTAGAACCAGAAGGGGGTCCTCAAAACATCAGTGGTTAAAAACCAGTGATCTATGCAATAAAAAAGAAATAGGCTTTTTAAAATAAAAAACAACATCCAGGGAGTGACACAGTTGGTACAAACACTTAATTGTTGTATGAATAAACTGACTTCCACCTGAAATGGAGCCCAACTTGCGCCTTCTAGGCAACTGGTGGGCACTAAAAAAAATTCACTTCATGCGGGGTTTGACCCTGGGACCTCTCCAAGACTAGTGGAACCGGGAGCTGGCAGTCAGTAGAGCACACGGATGTTAACAGTTGCCACCAGTCTTGAGTATGACCACCGCAAGAGTGGGATCAGACGTCCGCAGGCAGTCAATGGAGCCAACATCCGTTTGCTTGACACGGACCAGGCGGACTTTTTTCAGTGGCCGCCGGTTGCCTAATGACGCAAGTTGTGCTCTGTTTCCGGTGGACGACAACTTATTCTTGAGTAAATACCTTGGGGACTTCCCCTGTACAGTCAAACACCTTTGTAATGAACGCCTTTACAATGAAAACGCCCATTTAATGAAGTAAAATAAAGTCTCGGCCAATCTCCTATGTGTCCAATGTACTGCAGGTTTCAGTTACAGCGTAGAAAAAACGAGAGAGGAAAAGACATACACACCGCTGACTATCAACTTGCTGGCTTTAATGCTTAACATCCTAATGGGTGCAACGTGCACACATGGAGATGGCTTTTATCACTAGCTTGAAGGTAAACGTTCGGCAGCCCTCTGCCTGGTTAGGAATAGACATGAAGCGAAAAATAGGGACTCTAACCAAAGATTTATTAAACATTTACCCGACGTTTCAGGACCAGTTCGGTCCCTTGTTCACAGGTGAGTGACAAAAAAAAGAAACCATGCATTGATTAAATGCCCACACGGATGTAGAAGGCTTTGCTCACGTCACGCAGTCCCGAGACGTACATACTGGGCAGGGAGCCCTAAGAACGATTCACGAACCCCTTTGTATGCTGGATAAACCAAGACTCAACAAAGAGCCGCTTTTGCCAATTCCTCTCCAAGGCCGGCACGGTGCTTCCCTCGAAGTCAACTGTGTGGCCGGCTGCTTCTGCGTGCTTCGCGAGGGCGCTCGCCTCCACATCCTTCTTCGGACATCATATTTGTGTCGCGTGAGCCTCTCGGCGGAGTTCTTACTTTCGCCAACATATGAGGCCGGGCAATCTTTGTATGGTATGCGGTAGACCAAGCCTTGAGCCCTTCCTTTGGGGGGCCGATTTTTCGGGAGGGGCAGGCGATAACCGATTGTCGACACGGGCTTATGAGTCACCGCAATCCCGTAGTGACCGAGGACGCAAGAAAGGGCCTCGCTGGTGCAGCTAGTGTAGGGGACATAGACGCAATCGGAAGGGGAACTGCTGCGCCCTAGGGGTGGATGCCCTGATTTCTCAAGTATCCGAAAAATAAACCGTTTAGGGTAGCCACTCTTGCGGAGATTCGATGTTACGACCTTGATTTCTTTCTGGAGGCTCTTCTTTGTGGAGCAGGTGGCGAAGGCGCACCTGAAGAGTGCGGAGGCCACCAACGCCTTATGACATCGGGGGTGCTGGGAATCAAACCCCAAGTATCTTCCAGTATGGGTTGGCTTCCTGTAAACAGAGAAGCTTAGCCCACTGCCACTCCTGGTTACCAGTACATCCAGAAAGGAAAGGGAACCTTTGTCTTCGCGTTTGACCGTGAATTGTAGCGACTCATCCACCGAGTTCAGGTGCTTTAAAAGACAATCCACCTTGCTGGTTTTAACCACGCAGAAGCAGTCGTCCACGTAATGCAGGAACGTTCTGGGTTCAGGCTTGAAAGTGTCGAGAGCCTTGCGTTCGATGCCCTCCATTGTGAGGTTCGCCATTGTCACAGATGTGGCTGCCCCCATGGCTGTTCCGCTGGTTTGCTTGTAGTACTTCCTTGCTAAATGAGAAGTATGTGCTGTTCAGGCAAAGCTTTAGTAATCGGCAGATCTCGTCAACTGATAGGCACATTCTCTCCGGAAGTTTTTCGTCTGCCGAGAGAGCACTTCTTGCAACAGATACCGCCAATGGCACTGGGATGCTGGTGAACAAAGACACCACGTCAAAAGAGACGAGGCTCTCGTCGTTACGTAGCTCTAAATCGGAAACAGTGACTAGAGTTCTGCACGTACGTTGGAGTCTTTCCGGTAAGGGGTGAGAGGAGCCTGTGGAGGTAGTTGGTGACGTTGTGAAGTCCACAATAGGTCGAAGTGGTACACCGGCCTTGTGTATCTTGGGGAGACCGTACAACGCCGGGATGGCGTTGTACGGTCTCCCCACTACAACCAATTTCACTACAACTGACCACTACAACCAATTCCTGTTTAACAAACAATCGACACCGCCCCAGGGCCCCCTGCTGTCGCTTCGACGCATGTTCTTGAGTCCAAATAATTTGTTAGTGTGTGAGCTTGTGCCTAGATGTAGAAATCCTGTTCACAGCAACATAGTCACACAGCACCATCTAGACACAAAATTGCACACTAAATTTGATATAAGCGCTAATTCGATAAAAGCGATAGAGCCAAAAAAACAGTGCCAGCAGCCTCGAAGGTGGAAAAGAACACTGAGAAACGCTCTGACCGTATATTTAACTGAACAAACCTTGGTTATGAACAACTAGCGGCAGCGTTACCGAGTAAAAAAAGTGAAAGCCGTTTATTACTCCCTGTAACGCCGAATTGGAGCGCAGCTCTTGAGGAGGAGGAGGGGAGGGTACTGGGGGCCACGTGTTCTCGGGGGGGGGGGGGGTCACGTGACCCCCCCCCCGAGGGCACGTGACCTTGGTGGGGTCACGTGGGGGCAAACACGTGCCCCCCTCAGAGGTCACGTGACCTCGGGAGGGGGTCACGTGACCTCGGAGTGTCACGTGACTCCCCAGGTCACGTGACCAAAATTTTTACGCTAGATTTAGCGGTGAAATTTCTTCCGCTAGATTTAGCGGGGAAATTTTTTCCGCTAGATTTAGCAGGGAAATTTTTTCCGATAGATTTAGCGGGGACATTTTTCTGCTAGATTAAGCGGGGAAATTTTTTCCGCTAGATTTAGCGGGGAAATTTTTTCTGCTATATTTAGCGGGGAAATTTTTCCGCTAGATTTAGCGGGAAAATTTTTTCTGCTAGATTTAGCGGGGAAATTTTTCCGCTAGATTTAGCGGGGAAATTTACCCATAATGCACCGCGCAGTTATGCCGACGGCGACGCCGCTCAAGCCGGAAACAGGCGCCTAAGAGCTGCGGTCTAAAAATATTTAAGTGGAGTTTGCCGATAATTTTATCCAAGCATCAGTTTTTTTTTAACTGCTCCAGGCATCGCAAGAACACTGTCACCGCTGCTGCACTCCACATTGTTTCGAAGCGGTCATAGGACGTTTCACGTCTACGCAGTTGTCGGCATTTCCTGAAGTGTCTCCGAAGTCACTTCGTGCTTACCCTGGCCGCAAGCAAGGTCTACGATCGCAACATCCGTGGCAGGAGCAACAATGGGAATGTCCGCACAGACAAGTTCGAACGAATCAAAGTTGTCCTCGGAGGCTTTACCAACATGTTTTCACACACTGCCGCAGAAATCGTTGCAGCTATGGAAATCATGCGCCAGCTTGGCAAGCATGCTCGCGAGAAAATCTGACGTGTGCGAAGTAGTTGGCGATCCTTCACTTTCGCGTCATGAGGACGCTTTCTCCTGCATGAAAAACTTCCCAAACCGATCCAATATGCCTTGCTTGTCCTGCGAAATGGCGAACAGTGTCAAACAGCCGATGCCAAAATGTCGAATTCTTTAACAATTTCGGCCACTTTCGTCAACCTCGCAGATCTAAGCGACTTTCGGTAAACACACCGAATCTCCCACACGACACATGTGTGCATGTAGTACGCCACAGGCGTACTACATGGGGCTCTTGAAGAATGATCTCCTCCTGGCTCCATCGCTCCCTTGACCCAATTCCAACAGGAGCCGGGCAGCGTCGGCCGCAGGTGCCGAGGGTAGCGTCGGAACATTGCTGCCGCTCCCAATGCTCCCTGTGCGCGTCCCCACGCAGGTGCATCGGCATCGAAAGCGGCGCTCTGCCAGCTCTGCGCGCTCTGCCTCAGTCATCCGTCTACTCCGTTTCCCCAATTTTCCGTTTTCCTCGGTGGAGAAGGGGGAGGGAACGCGAGGGTCTCCGTGCACCTCAGTGTAGGCTGGCGCGCTTTCGGCACCTCGGCCTTTGTAATAAGCGTGGTCGGCCGCCGATACACTTAGAATAATCCGGTTCAAAATGCCTGCATTTTGGTAGGGACCACGTTAAACTTTGATAAAAGCGATAATTAAAAAAAAAAGCGATTTCATTATAACGAGGGATTATTGTATTTAAATGCAAAACCAAGAATGCGTGGTGCGGCAAAAGCGGTGCATGTAGTGTTGCACACATACTACTTTTGTTTGCTTTCATTTAGCTCACGACGTTGATTTAGTATGCGCCATTCTGCTCCAAGATGAGATTTTTTTCAACACTCCGTTCGTGCAGTGTGTGCACTCGCTTTCTTCTTTTGCATGTACAGCAGCCCATTTGAAAGAACCCGCACAAACGAGAGTATGTATACATATATATATATATATAAAAAAAGGTATTTTCACGGGCAGTTGCAACTTTTTTATGCTGTCTTGGCATTTGTTCGACCGACACGTCTTTCTTGGTCAGGATACAAGATTCCCCATCTTGCTCGATTTGAGCCCCAAATTGTTTTGCCTCGGAGTGACAATATGCGGTGAAAGAAACACGACATGTGACTCCACCAGTAGAGCCGCACAGAAAAAGGTGCCCCATTTTGTCCCAGACAGATCTGGGAAAGGGTTCAATCGTGAAAGGGTTCAATCAAAGCTGAAATTTCGCTCGCCCCTTGCGCTTGTCGTGTCTCCGCACGATTTGGCTGAGCGAGGGATATTTTTCTGCGTGAGATTTCCACCACTCAAAAAGGTCCCTAATGTCCAAACAACTGTTGCCACTGCCTAAGCAACGTTCCACCCAAGTGTTGCTAGGGCGAGATCTCTCGGCTTGCGGCCCTTCCAAGCCGGTAGGTTTTCCTGCTTTTGGCTTTTTTGCGCGTGGCTCATCTTGTTCGTCTAATTCACATAGCATCACTATGCGAAAAAAAAAGTTTATTGTTAGGTTTACTGACGAGTGAGGATTCCTAAATCCTAGAAATGTCTTCGCAGAGGCCACAAACTCCCATTTGAGAACCACTGACATAGGCACTAGTCATAGTTTAGCGGGATTTGACCTAATGACCCGCGGCACAATATCCAGATTGGCGCTTTTTGTGTTAGAACAAACTTTCTGCTACTTTTTTTTGGTTTTCGAGGATAAAGTAAATATTTACCTCAATTTCGAAATATTTGGCAGGGTCGGGCTGTCGGGTCATGATGCCTCCAACTAGACCCGACCCCAGCCCGATGCAATTCGGGATAAATCGGCCCAAGCCCGGCCCAAGCCCGGCCCAAGCCCGGCCCAAGCCCGGCCCAAGCCCGACCTAACTGTCAAGTCGGGCTCGAGCTAGCTTGAGCCCGCGCAGATTTTTAGTGGGAAAGCGACATTGGCACTGCTTCATATTTTATTCAAACGAGATTCCAAAGAACATGAAAATTTCCAGTTTAAGTTGCAATGAGCACCGTACATGTTAAGCTCAGCAACAGCGTTTCAGCCGAAAAAAAAAAGAGGTACCACTTGTTTGGGGTGTGTCACATTCTGTATGTACATTCTGCATGCCTCGAATGACATCTTATGCAATGCTGCTGGGGTGTAGAAAAAAAAATGATGAGCCATTCCCCCCTGTCAAGGTGGATTACCAGCGAAGCTGCTTAGCACGACACAGACGTGACACAGAATTTTGAACAAAGGTACGAACACATTTATTGTCTCGATCGGTGGTCATCGTGACCAAAGGTATGCACACATACAGTAATCCCTCGTTATAACGAAATCGCTTTTTACGAAATATTGCATCTTTCGAAGTATGATACGGTCCCGATCGCAATGCATGTATTTGGGAGCGGATTATTCGAAGTGTATCGACGGCTGGACATGCTTGATACAAAGGACGATCTGCCGAAGGTACAGTGTGTAAGCCAGTGCAACCCTTCCAAGATGTGCGCAAAAAGCCATTAGCTGCGAAAGGTACATCATCTTTCGCCACTATAAATGCGCGAAGAGCGCAGAGGACGTGCCTTGCATGCGGAGTGTCTGTCGCACCCGCCCCTTGGGAGCCCCGAAGCACCTGCCACTTGATTCTGACTTGTCGAGTCAAGGGAGCAAAGGCGGCGGGAGATCGCCACTTCGGGAGCTCTGTGCGCGCAGAGGAATGCAGCAGCGTGTTGAGCGACGGTTCTACCACTTCACATGGTGCCTGTGGTGCCCGCGGCCCGGCTCTCGTCGGAATCAAGTCAGGGAACTGCATCCCCTGCCGGCGCCCACCTCTCTGAATGCAACGTCCCAAGTTATCTATCAAAAAAAAAAAGGAAAGAAAAACTCCGTCTCACTAAAACCGTTTAGTACAGCCAAAGCTACGGGGAGAGAATGTATGTGTTCAAGAGGAGAGAAAGGAGGAACAAGAAAGAAGGGCTTGGATTCTCCTTTCCCTCCGATTGAACAGCTGGGGTACAGCCTCTCTCCTGTAGCTTTGGCTGTACTGTGGTTGACTTGGCCAACTTGGTCGCGATGCACCGTTTGCGAGCTTGAGTCGACGCTGCATTTACGGATCACGTGCACGTCGAGGCAGCGTCTTTGATATCGTGTCCTGCGTTGCAAAGGCAGCCCGTCTGCCCATGCAGTAGATGCGTGCAACCTGCTTCACTGCTGATGGCACCGCCAAAGCTCGCGTGGAAGTGTCTGACCCTAGAACAGAAAGTCAAGCTGATCCGAGAAGTGGAGAAAGGTGGTCGACTGAAGTTGGGAATTGCGAAAGAATTCAACATCCCGCTGTCGACGAATTTTCCCGCGCGTGCTTGATATGCCAGCGGATGACACTGAGATCTGCGGCGACCTTTACAGAACCGTGCACAAGATCGTCGGTGGAACTCCCGAAGACAACTTCAACTCGTTTCCGCTTCTGGATGCAGACATCTCGTTTGTCGCTCCCGTCACGGATGCCGAGACCATGGACCTTGTGTGTGGCCAGGGCAAAGACGAAGAGCCGTTGGATGAGGAACCCCGAGAGGTACCCACGACTGGAGAAACGCCAAACATGCTTCGTCTTCTTTGCAACAATGTGGAGTGCAAGGGCGGCGATGACAGCCTCGTGCGGTGCTTGAGGCAGTTGGAGAAGGCTTTTTTAATGCCCGGCAAAAACGCCCGGCAAACTGATCTCCCGTCTTTTTTCATGTCTCAGTAAGCCTGGATAATCAGCAAGGTTTGTTTCATTGAATATATATTTGTAAAAGCCTTCCACACTGTTCCTGTGGACTTTCAAAGTTTCTGTTACTCTTTTTATGGCTCTAAATGTTTTTATCGAATTACCACATTTATAAACATTTTTTTGCATCCCGTTGACTTCGTTATAAAGAGGCATTACTGTATGTCGAGGACTATCGCCGCCCCGAGGAGATGGAGGAAACTAGACCCACGTGATGGGGCTGCCACCCGGCAGAAGGAAACGAAACTAAGCACGCAAGCATTTGGAACGACCACAATGAGAGAACGGTGCGCTTCCCTCCTCCTCCTGCCACTCAATTTGTTCACAGGCGATGTAACACAAAGTTGCGACGTCCTTTTCCCCGCTAAACTCAGCGGGGAAACTGAATTGGTGTTGAGGTCACGTGATGTCAATTTCCCCGCTTACCGTAAAGCCCCGCATATAATACGAGTTTTGTTTCTTCAAATTCTGCCATGTAAAATTTGCGGCTCCTATTTTACGCGGGTCCCAACAATTTTCAGCTTCGATGAGGCGCGATCTAACGCTGTTTGACGTAGTTTCGGTTTCGAAGCAGTAGGGCGCTCAAAACAGCTGTCATCGTCATTAAAGTCGCAATGTCCGAGGCGCCACCATCCATCCACAGTTGGGCTCGGCAACGGCGTCGGCGCGAAAACAATAATCGGCCGCCTTCAAAAGAAAAGTCCTTTTGGCTGCGAAAGACAGCGGCAACAGTACTGCCGGATGACAATTCGCCGCAAATGAGGGCAAGATCCGCGGATGGGGACGACAAAAGCAAGCTCTGTTTGCATGCAACGGAACGAGAAGAAGCTTTAGGAGCCCGAAGAATGGCGTTTTCGCCGACGTCGAGGCAAGCCTCGGCGACTTTGTAAAAGAGCAACGTGAACGGCACCTCGCTGTAAACATGGAGCTGCTGCATAAGAACTTTGGCAAGCCGGCATTGGGTTCTTCGCTTTATGCACCACACCGGGATTTCACTGCGTCGGCGCTCTCTTGTCGCTCCTTCTTTCACGAAGTGCGGGATTTCAAATGCGCTCGACGGCACTGAAGACTGCCTTTGGGAGGAGGCGTCGGACAAGGAGTCTGATGGACGTGATGGCAGTGATTAAGGTTCAATTATGACGCAGATAAAGGTTTTTCTTAAGACTTCCTGGGTCATACTTCACACGAAATATTTTCATTGTCCTTATATTTGTTTCGCATTATACGCGGATAAAATTTTTCTTTTTTGCGGTCCTCAAATTATGTCTCGTATTATACGCGGGTTTTTACGGTAATTTAAGGGAAAATTTCCCCGCCAAATTTAACGGAAGAATGTTGCCGCTAAATTTAACGGGGAAATTGACGTCACGTGACACAAAGCCGTGCCGTCATTCCTGTTGCCGCACACGAAAAGTCCACGGGCCCTAGCCATAAACAATTTCGCTGTAAAACAACCCAAACAATTCTAACAGGACCTAGAGACGTCACCTTGACAGTCCTGGCTGGAGCGTAGGCCGAGAAGGGCTTCACGTCCATGGCCGCCTCGGCACCAGATTCCGAGCTGTTGAAGAGCACCTCGGTGCCCCTCACGATCTTCACTTGGTTGGGATGCTCCCTGCAGGAGTCAAAGACGAGCAAACGTGAGGACCTATACCCTCCAAAGGCTTTGGCCAACCTCCAATACAAAAAGAGCTTGAATCTCGGTCTACGACACGTGTCTACCACTGGTGTGTTTGGTGTCCTCCAGAATCACTCGAGTGTCCGCACAAATGCGACAAATTATGCCGCAGGGACCCCCAAGGGAACGGCTCGGAGTGTCACCATCCTGGAGGCAGTTCGTAGGAAGGATGGCACAGCAAATGAACGGGTGCGGGCACCTCTGGAGTACGGTGTTCAAACTTACGACTGCCGGAGTCTGTGTCGGTGGGTGCTTTTTCGGCCATAGCGGGTGGGCCGACACCGAAGTGTCGAGAATAGGGTGGCGGTTTTTGGGACGATCACAAAACCGTGTCGTCCTCGTACCTTCCGGTCTACGAGTCGCATACCCCTAAAATGGCTGTTTTCAGAAAAAAGTTTATACGTAAGTCGCACCTTAGTTAAAATCGCACCTATGTACTTGAACAGTTGGAACGCCAAAACTGCTTCGAAAGACCCGCCTGTCTTTTATGACTGCCATATATGCATGAGAGGAAGTTTGAATATTCTCATTGATCAATCGAACGACAGATTTAATGCTCATGACGTATTTACGCAGTTAAGGTTCATTCTTATAGAAAAAAAATGTGCATAAGTTACACCGTTGTGTAAGACACACTGACGGAAATTTTAGATATAAAATGCAACTTATACACAAGAAAATATGATATATCGTATCATCACATAATAACTGTCGGTAGGCACTGCAATGTGGGCTTACATGGTACGGGCTGTGACAATCTGGCACGATCCCCGAGTACGACATCGGCGAACAGAGAAAGCAAAGGCACACTAAACACACCAGTTGGAGATGACCTACAGGTACCGCAGTGTACACACCGACGTTCGTACGAAACATGTTAACGCGTGTGGACGACACAGGTGAGGATCCCACCTGTCGGGGAAAGAGAGTAGGGGCTTGAACGTCTCGATCCTGGTGCTCTCCACCCCGTAGAGCTTCCAGGCCTGTTCAATGCGCACGGCCAGCTTCTTGCCCTTGGGTGTGCCGGCCAAGTGGTAGTCGCTCGTCATCACCCTGGAAAGTAACATCTACACTTGGCGGCTGGAAAGCTGACACAGATTAAAAAAAAGGAAAGCCGTTTACAACCCTCTGTAACACCGAATTAGAGTGCAGCTCTTGAGGAAGAGGAGGGAAAGGTACTGAGGGGAGGGTATACCCCTCCTCCCTCCTCCTCATCCTGCCTGCTACTCCCCCTTCCTTCCTCCCTCCGAGCGGCGTCGACATCGCCGTAACCGTGAGGTCACGTGACGTCACGGGGAGTCACGCAAAGTCACCGGGGTCACGTGACCTCACGGGGGTCACGTGACCTCACGGGGGTCACATGACCTCACAAGGGTCACATGACCTCACCGGGGTCACGTGACGTCACCGGGGTCACATGACGTCACGGTGTCACATGACGTCACTGATGTCGTGTGACCTCACGGGAACCACGTGACGTCACCAGTCACGTGACCTCACGGGGTCACGTGACCTCACGGGGGTCACGTGACGTCATCGGGGTCATGTGCATCACCAGGGTCACGTGACCTCACCAGGGTCATGTGACTTCACAGGGGTCACATGACCTCACGGTTACGCTGATGGCGACGCCGCTCAAGCTGGAAACGGGCGCCTAACAGCTGCGCTTTAAAAAGTACTAAAAAAATCCCGAAAACACCAAGATGAAATAAGAAGGCGCACTTGCAACTGTCTTTTCTTTGTACAAAAAAACACATACAGTAATAAAGGCCCCATCAGCCTGTCTGGTTATCGTCAGGTCGGTGCAAAGCTCATTTGATATGATCAAACTCCATTTTATGGCGTTAGCTTTTAAAGGCTCTTCCCACCACTGGAAATGACATCCATTGTTGTTGTAGGGCCTCCGTCGTCGGTACCCCCAAAATGTTCGAAAAAGATAGCACATTGCTATGGTGTTCTTGGAATTCGAACTTGGGACCATCAAATGGTGTGTTTTAGAAACATGCAAATCAAAGTAAAAGTATCGTGAAATTGATTGCTGGTGTGTTCACCGATTTGTTGTTTTTACTTTGTTGCAAATTTCCATTTATGTCATTATTTTCATTCCTGATGTCATTGACACTTTTTCCTAACCACACGCATAGTTCTGACGTATAACTTTGTATTTGAAAATAACCGAATAAATAAATGAATAAATAAATAAATGCGAAGCAGGTGTGTTACCACAGAGCTATGCCACAGCTATGAAAGTATCGTGAAATTGATTGCTGGTGTGTTCACCGATTTGTTGTTTTTACTTTGTTGCAAATTTCCATTTATGTCATTATTTTCATTCCTGATGTCATTGACACTTTTTCCTAACCACACGCATAGTTCTGACGTATAACTTTGTATTTGAAAATAACCGAATAAATAAATGAATAAATAAATAAATGCAAAGCAGGTGTGTTACCACAGAGCTATGCCACAGCTATGAAAGTATCGTGAAATTGATTGCTGGTGTGTTCACCGATTTGTTGTTTTTACTTTGTTGCAAATTTCCATTTATGTCATTATTTTCATTCCTGATGTCATTGACACTTTTTCCTAACCACACGCATAGTTTTGACGTATAACTTTGTATTTGAAAATAACCGAATAAATAAATGAATAAATAAATAAATGCGAAGCAGGTGTGTTACCACAGAGCTACGCCACAGCTATGAAAGTATCGTGAAATTGATTGCTGGTGTGTTCACCGATTTGTTGTTTTTACTTTGTTGCAAATTTCCATTTATGTCATTATTTTCATTCCTGATGTCATTGACACTTTTTCCTAACCACACGCATAGTTTTGACGTATAACTTTGTATTTGAAAATAACCGAATAAATAAATGAATAAATAAATAAATGCGAAGCAGGTGTGTTACCACAGAGCTACGCCACAGCTATGAAAGTATCGTGAAATTGATTGCTGGTGTGTTCACCGATTTGTTGTTTTTACTTTGTTGCAAATTTCCATTTATGTCATTATTTTCATTCCTGATGTCATTGACACTTTTTCCTAACCACACGCATAGTTTTGACGTATAACTTTGTATTTGAAAATAACCGAATAAATAAATGAATAAATAAATAAATGCGAAGCAGGTGTGTTACCACAGAGCTACGCCACAGCTATGAAAGTATCGTGAAATTGATTGCTGGTGTGTTCACTGATTTGTTGTTTTTACTTTGTTGCAAATTTCCATTTATGTCATTATTTTCATTCCTGATGTCATTGACACTTTTTCCTAACCACACGCATAGTTTTGACGTATAACTTTGTATTTGAAAATAACCGAATAAATAAATTAATAAATAAATAAATGCGAAGCAGGTGTGTTACCACAGAGCTATGCCACAGCTATGAAAGTATCGTGAAATTGATTGCTGGTGTGTTCACCGATTTGTTGTTTTTACTTTGTTGCAAATTTCCATTTATGTCATTATTTTCATTCCTGATGTCATTGACACTTTTTCCTAACCACACGCATAGTTCTGACGTATAACTTTGTATTTGAAAATAACCGAATAAATAAATGAATAAATAAATAAATGCAAAGCAGGTGTGTTACCACAGAGCTATGCCACAGCTATGAAAGTATCGTGAAATTGATTGCTGGTGTGTTCACCGATTTGTTGTTTTTACTTTGTTGCAAATTTCCATTTATGTCATTATTTTCATTCCTGATGTCATTGACACTTTTTCCTAACCACACGCATAGTTTTGACGTATAACTTTGTATTTGAAAATAACCGAATAAATAAATGAATAAATAAATAAATGCGAAGCAGGTGTGTTACCACAGAGCTATGCCACAGCTATGAAAGTATCGTGAAATTGATTGCTGGTGTGTTCACCGATTTGTTGTTTTTACTTTGTTGCAAATTTCCATTTATGTCATTATTTTCATTCCTGATGTCATTGACACTTTTTCCTAACCACACGCATAGTTCTGACGTATAACTTTGTATTTGAAAATAACCGAATAAATAAATGAATAAATAAATAAATGCAAAGCAGGTGTGTTACCACAGAGCTATGCCACAGCTATGAAAGTATCGTGAAATTGATTGCTGGTGTGTTCACCGATTTGTTGTTTTTACTTTGTTGCAAATTTCCATTTATGTCATTATTTTCATTCCTGATGTCATTGACACTTTTTCCTAACCACACGCATAGTTTTGACGTATAACTTTGTATTTGAAAATAACCGAATAAATAAATGAATAAATAAATAAATGCGAAGCAGGTGTGTTACCACAGAGCTACGCCACAGCTATGAAAGTATCGTGAAATTGATTGCTGGTGTGTTCACCGATTTGTTGTTTTTACTTTGTTGCAAATTTCCATTTATGTCATTATTTTCATTCCTGATGTCATTGACACTTTTTCCTAACCACACGCATAGTTTTGACGTATAACTTTGTATTTGAAAATAACCGAATAAATAAATGAATAAATAAATAAATGCGAAGCAGGTGTGTTACCACAGAGCTACGCCACAGCTATGAAAGTATCGTGAAATTGATTGCTGGTGTGTTCACCGATTTGTTGTTTTTACTTTGTTGCAAATTTCCATTTATGTCATTATTTTCATTCCTGATGTCATTGACACTTTTTCCTAACCACACGCATAGTTTTGACGTATACCTTTGTATTTGAAAATAGCCGAATAAATAAATGAATAAATAAATAAATGCGAAGCAGGTGTGTTACCACAGAGCTACGCCACAGCTATGAAAGTATCGTGAAATTGATTGCTGGTGTGTTCACCGATTTGTTGTTTTTACTTTGTTGCAAATTTCCATTTATGTCATTATTTTCATTCCTGATGTCATTGACACTTTTTCCTAACCACACGCATAGTTTTGACGTATAACTTTGTATTTGAAAATAACCGAATAAATAAATGAATAAATAAATAAATGCGAAGCAGGTGTGTTACCACAGAGCTACGCCACAGCTATGAAAGTATCGTGAAATTGATTGCTGGTGTGTTCACCGATTTGTTGTTTTTACTTTGTTGCAAATTTCCATTTATGTCATTATTTTCATTCCTGATGTCATTGACACTTTTTCCTAACCACACGCATAGTTTTGACGTATAACTTTGTATTTGAAAATAACCGAATAAATAAATGAATAAATAAATAAATGCGAAGCAGGTGTGTTACCACAGAGCTACGCCACAGCTATGAAAGTATCGTGAAATTGATTGCTGGTGTGTTCACCGATTTGTTGTTTTTACTTTGTTGCAAATTTCCATTTATGTCATTATTTTCATTCCTGATGTCATTGACACTTTTTCCTAACCACACGCATAGTTTTGACAAATAACTTTGTATTTGAAAATAACCGAATAAATAAATGAATAAATAAATAAATGCGAAGCAGGTGTGTTACCACAGAGCTACGCCACAGCTATGAAAGTATCGTGAAATTGATTGCTGGTGTGTTCACCGATTTGTTGTTTTTACTTTGTTGCAAATTTCCATTTATGTCATTATTTTCATTCCTGATGTCATTGACACTTTTTCCTAACCACACGCATAGTTTTGACAAATAACTTTGTATTTGAAAATAACCGAATAAATAAATGAATAAATAAATAAATGCGAAGCAGGTGTGTTACCACAGAGCTACGCCACAGCTATGAAAGTATCGTGAAATTGATTGCTGGTGTGTTCACCGATTTGTTGTTTTTACTTTGTTGCAAATTTCCATTTATGTCATTATTTTCATTCCTGATGTCATTGACACTTTTTCCTAACCACACGCATAGTTTTGACGTATAACTTTGTATTTGAAAATAACCGAATAAATAAATGAATAAATAAATAAATGCGAAGCAGGTGTGTTACCACAGAGCTATGCCACAGCTATGAAAGTATCGTGAAATTGATTGCTGGTGTGTTCACCGATTTGTTGTTTTTACTTTGTTGCAAATTTCCATTTATGTCATTATTTTCATTCCTGATGTCATTGACACTTTTTCCTAACCACACGCATAGTTCTGACGTATAACTT